GATAGACTGGTGACCTGTCCAGGGTGTCCCCTGCCTTCACCCTAAGTCAGCTGGGATAGGCTCCAGCCCCCCACGACCCTAGTGAGGATTAAGCGCTGTATAGAGAATGGATGGATGGATGGATGGATAGATAGATATATAATATATGATTAAAAAGTTTTATTAAAGTCACAACTTTTGTCTTAGACCTATCAATTCTAAATTATTTGTCAATAGTCAAATTCAAATATCATTTCTTTATGAGTTTATCTTGCAATCAAAGTAAAAGCAACATCAAAAAGTTAAACATAAAGTTAATCTAAATGCATAAATACCAACTTTATATTGATCAAGAAGACGTGAGGTATGATGAGTACACAACATTAAATAACATCTAGAATTTGTTTATCTGTGTACAAGGGGTCCTATGTTTTTTTTTCATGGCCAATATCAGTACAGATTTTTAGGAATCAGAAACCATTAATTGATATTTGGAGTCAAAATACATTTGCGTTAAAAATGAAAATCTTGTCAAAAATTACGTTGAATTAAAAGACAACTCTTTAACATTCATCCTTCAGTGCTGATAGGCTGTTACTGGTGGTGTGTAACCAATCAGATCAGACCACCAAAGCTGCAATTAACAATTATTTCCATTGTCAGTTAATCTGTTTGTTATTTTATTGAACAATCGTTTAGTTGTTTCATCTATGAAATGTCAGAAAATGGGAAAAAATGTGGATCAGTGTTTCCCGGTGACTTGCTGCCTTTAAAAAAGTTCAGTTTTATTGTTGAAACTGGAAAATATTCAAATTTAAGACAGAGATTCAACAGTTTTTTTCTCAAAAAAAGGTAAAGTAGGTAAAAATAGTTGACAACTAACTGTTTAAAAGTTGCAGCTCTAAAGGTCCCAGAGTGATGACAGGCGGCCGCATCGAGGCAAAGTAGCACATTTTAAAAGTTATTTTCTTAAACTGACATTGTGGTAAAAGAAACCAAACAAAAAACAATGGAGGTATCTGGAAAACTGCTGAATGCCAGATGTGATAACTGGCCAATAATAAGTTGATCCCTAATATGTATATGTGTGTATGTTCAATGTTGTAAATTAGATGGTTGTGATAGTTACAAACCTTCAGAACGTTACCACCCAACTCTGCAAGGACCCTTAAAAATCCAGTTTGGAGGATTTTTACATGCTCATTGTGGAGGTTTTCTTTAGAAGTCAACTTTTACCAATCTGTTTTGTACTCTCTCTGCCCAGCACCAGACACAGAAAAATGGTGACTTGCTGGTGATAGTAGCAGAGAATTTTATCAGCTAAAGAGCCACATTACTTCTCATGCATTTCTGGACGACAAAACAGTGAGAGTGTTTTGGCCTTGAACACCCAGTGAATGCTGGATGTTTAACTGAACTAAAGTTCTGCTACTACAACGGCTTTGTTAGGTAGTGATACGTCTGTGTTGAGTGTGCTCTCTACAAATGTCAAAAAATGGATTAATTAAAACTGCAGAGTTGTGTTACAGTTAATAGTTGTACTTTTCTGAACTTATTTGAGGTCATTGTTCCATTTACACTGTTATCTGGGTGTAGTTATTTTGATTATCGACCATCCATCCATTATCTATACACCGCTTAATCCTCACTAGGGTCGTGGGGGGCTGGAGCCTATCCCAGCTGATTTAGGGTGAAGGCAGGGGGCACCCTGGACAGGTCACCAGTCTATCACAGGGCTACACTTAGAGACAGACAACCAAGCACACTCACATTCACACCTACGGATAATTTAGAATCAACATGTTTTTGGACCTTGTGGGAGGAAGCTGGAGAACCAGGAGAGAACCCACGCTGCACAGGGAGAACATGGAGACTCCACGCGAACTGGCGACCTTGTGCGAGGCAACAGTGCTAACAACCGCACCACCTTGCAGCCCGTCGACCAACATGTTTCTGAATATTTCTTTTTGTTTTCCTGATATCAGAAATTGTAAAACATGACCGCTACAATTTCTGAGAAAGTCTAAAATGGCAGATACTCACATTTTACAAGCTGCAAGATTCACATGTTTTGCATGATTGCTTGACGATTTGCTTAAACTATTCACTGCTTGGCCAAACTCTTGTTGCTTTATCATACTAATAAAATGGCTGTGCTGCTGAATTCAGTTGCTTCGTAAGTTCCGAGTTTGTACATCATCCTATTTATCATTCAGTGTTGTTTAAAGATGGAATTTGCAATTGTTGAGAAAGATTTTTGATGCCGGTTTCACTGTCCTTTGCACCCCCTGTTTCTCCATTTTGTAATTTCGATAGCTAAACTGGAGAGGGGGGCGAGGGGGGGGGTTGTGAATACTGATCCGATACCAGTATTTAATCTGCATACCTCCCTTCATGGAGCCAACTGGGATCACTCTTCTATTTATGAGTGGAGGTTTGGAGTAACTATTTATGTAGAGACATTAGCTCGCTGCAGTAAATGAAACAGAACCGAAAACAATGGGGCTCCTGCTGCGAGAATACTGTTTGAGTGGCAGAATAACAAATGCTGGCAGATATTAATAAATAAGGCAGTGTGGTGCGCTGGGACTACTGTAGTTGTTGAAAAAAATTCAATCAGTGATCCTAAACAAAAGAACAAAAGATACTTTTTATTTTTTTGTGTGGCAATTAGCGTTGCCTAAGTAACAACGGGATCAATATCGTTCTGGTGCATATTGGATCGGGGCATTTCTTATATATTGCTTGTAATATCTGATCCCACAACCGTTGATAGAACAGTTTAACTCCACCTTTAAGTCAAACTAAACCTCCATCGCTGAGATAAATATCTTGTCGGCGGTATTGCTACTCTTCACTCGTGATTTCTGTCTTCTCACCTGCTTTCCTCCCACAGGGTGGCGACAGATCACAATACCGATAACACCACGGCCATCCTGAGAGACTGGCTCATTAAGGTGCAGAACTACTATCACTATGTGGAGTGGAGACCTGAAGATGAACCAAGGTACCGTGCACGGTTGTGTGTGTGTGTGTGTGTGTGAATGTGAATGGAGGCTTGTGTGAACGTATGAGGTGAGCACATTACCTAACGGGTCTGTCTTTGCACGTCTCAGTGCCTTTGAAGACGAGGTGGGGCCTAAGCACTGGAATAACCTCCGCTACGAACACGTAATGAAGCTCCGCCAGGCAGCGCTGGAAACTGCCCGTGAGATCTGGGCCGACTACCTCCTGGTATGTTATCATCCTCTCCAACAGCTTCTTAAGTCTCCTCTTTATTATGTGCTCTCAGTTCTGGTGTAGAAGGAGATATCTGCGCAAAGTATAATAATCTGATTCATGGTACTTATTACACCCACCTGTCCATTATCCATGCCTGCTGATGCCTAATCAGGGATGTGGGGTGAAAATATTAAAGACCTACACACAATTAGGCTGAAAAGAAATTAAATGCTGTTAAATGTGTAAAAAAAAAGAGAGAAAAAGTAGGTGTTTGTTATCATTTGGCCATTTTGTTTCTGATAATAAGACCGACAACTTAAACACCTAATATGACAGGAGTTTAAGAGATTTCTCTACAAGTGGATGGTGGTTAACATGCTCCCAGTTTGGGGTCAGCACCAAAATTCATTTTAGCTACCTACAGAAAGGTCCACAAAAAAAAATCTATGTAATTTAAAGAATTCTGTACTTAGCTGAGCTGTTGACAGGCCTTTCTAACAGAGATATGGGGTGAAAAAAAACTAAAAACCTACACACATTTAAGCTGAAAAGAAGGGAAAGAAGGTAAGTGCTATCTAATAACAATCACATCTGATTAGCTGTTTTTTTTTCTGATAATGCTAATAAGATGTGCACCCAATGTGAAAGGGGTTAAAGGAGGGTGATTAAATTTCCTTTGAAGTGGGTTTATACGAGGGGCTCGTTCATAATCTGTGTCTGACTTAAAGTAGATGTCGGTTGACATGTTTGGGGAGGCAGAGAGGAGGACTGGCATGAAAGCAAAATGAATATGAGATACCTCCCAAAGGTCCACCAACATAAATCTATATCAGTTTAAGGATTCTGTACGCTGTGGAGCACTCTTTCCAACAGAGATATGTGGTAAAAAAGAAATAAAAAATTAAAAACCTACACACACATGTAGGCTGAAGAAAGTAAGTGCTTTCCAATTTGTTAAAAAATAACAAGTACAGGTAGGCGTTGGTGTAGCACATCTGTCTATGCTTGTTATTTATTTTGCTCCTGATAATGCTAATAATAATGCTTGGCAACTTAAACACCTAGTATAGCAGGAGTTAAAAGGATATCTTGATTTCTCAGAAGTGGATTTATATGGAGTACTTTTCCATAGTCAGTAGATGGTGGTTGACATGCCCTCGGTAGAGAGGAGGACTGGCATGAAAGCAAAGTGATAAACTGCTGCAGGAGGGGTCAGCAGCAAAATAAGTTTTAGCAACCTACAAAAAATTAAATAAAAGTCAATATCAGTTTAAGGGTTCTGCATTAAGTGTGCTTTGGTAAGTGTTTTCCAACAGGGATGCGGGGTAAAGAAATGCCAAACCTATGTACATTTAGGCTGAACAGAAGGAAAAAAAAGTTGTTGTGACACACCTGTCTGTGCTCGTCATTGTTTAGCCATTTTGTTTCACATAATGATAGCAAGACTGACAACTTTAACTCGTCATTTGACAGGAGTTAAAGGGATAGTCCGATTCCTCTGAAGTGATGAGGCGCTTATTCATAATCTGTGTATAACTTCCGGTCGATAGCGGTTGACATGCCCTCAGTTTGGGGAAGCAGAGAGGAGGACTGGCATGAAAGCCAAGTGATGAACTGCTGTGGACAGGATCAGCAGCAAAATGAGTTTTAGATACCTCCCAAAAGGTCCAGCAAAAAAAAAAAAATCAATATCAGTTTAAGGATTCTGTACTTAAGTAGGCTGCAGACAGCTCCCTCCAACAGAGACCTGAAGCTTTTCAATCGCTCTCTTCAAAGCCACCGGACTCCATTGACAAAAACAGTAAATTTTACCTCGGAGAACTCTGGCCTGCCGCTGCCTTGATCAGTTGGTTTGTTTTTTGTTATTGTGGGACTTTGGTGTTCTAACAAGTCGGTGCGGATCTGACCTAACCCATTAAAACACCAAAATCACACAGCGGTAGACCAGCAACACCCGTATCTGGTGAAGTGAAATCACAGTTTTTATCCGCAGTGTCTGGTGGCTTTAAAGAGAGCATAGAGTGATTTAAAAAAAGCTTCTGCTCCCTGTGGGAGAAAGCTGTCTGATAGAAGGGTAAAGCTCTTTTCCACAACAGTCATCACTTAGACTTTGTGCTGGTCCTCTTGTCTGGGGCCAGATACTGAAACCAATGCACTGACTGTTGAGAAGAACGTCAAACAACTCCACTTCAAAGAAACTAAACTACTGCTTGAAAGTTGTCAGGTGAACCCATGATTACATTTACAAATATCTATATTTTAAGCCTGAATGGGTGCTTTGGAATTGTTACGATGGTGATCTGCATTTTTAAATATAAGCTGATTTAAGGGTTTCCTCAAACTAAGCTTTGGAAAAAAACAGAAAGTGAAGGTTGCGATGCTGTGACCATGACGTAAGTCATTAAAACAAGATATATAGCCAGAGCACAATGGCATTTTTATTAATGTCAGCTTTATAATATGTCAGCTTTTTTTTTGCATTGATAATTAACATGCACAGGATATGTTATGAGTGGGAACAATTTAAAAACAAATTTAAAAAGCAAGCTCCAGAAAGCTTTGTTGTCCTTCTTTGTTTGGCTATAAGTACGTTGAAAGAATTATTAATGCAGTTTGACCTGATGATGGAGTGCTTTAGTTTTCTCCTTTTGTTTTCTGCACCATTTAATACAAAGCAAGACTCCCTGCTCCTTGTTTCTGTTATTTGCCTCCTCTAAAGAGCAGCGGTGCTTCCCTCCTCGTCTGTAAACGAAAACTACACTACCTCGACTTATGTTTCTGTCATTTCTCTTGCGCAAGTTCTTGTTATTTATTGTCGGACATAAAGGTCAATACTGGTGCATCTGCAATAAGCTAATATCAGAAAAAATATTATGGCTGCAGACAGCGTAGATTCTCATTTATTGGAGCACAAATGTTGTTCTTGGTGCATTGAGGCGAAGCTGCAAAAGAGGTTTTGGCATTGGGAAAAAACAAAAAACAAATCTTCTCTGGACATATAACCACTCGGCCTACTACAAATACGAGTGCAATCTGTTTGTAAGGCTTGTTTAAAATTACAGGCTGCGAGATGAGAGGGGAGAGATGAGAAGGAGCCTCGTACGCTTGCAGTGCTCTGTGATCAAATCATGTCACAGCGGCTCCATCAGTCATTTAGCGGCAGCGGGTGACATTTCGCATGCGCTTTCACGTGTACGTTTGGGTGTGATTGTCAATATTGCGCGCCGTCTCCTCCGTCTGCAGGTGGCCGACTGTGACAACCTGCTCACCAATCAGGATGTGTTGTGGAAGCTCATGAGGGAGAACAAGACCATCGCGGCTCCCTTGCTGGAGTCCAGGGCCGCGTACTCCAACTACTGGTGCGGCATGACTTCACAGGTACGGCACGTTTCCTTAGAGCTGTTCATCAAAGCGAAGCACAGAGTCCTCACATCTTGTTCCCCAGATTTATATTCTGGGTACGAGGTAGCTTATATAGTTTGAGTGTGTTGTAAATGCTCTCCTGGCAGTTTGGATGTATTTAACTCATAAAAAAAACATCTGTGACAGCAAGATGAAAACAAAAGGTATAAATTCCATATTCTAAAAAGACTATATTATTATAATTTAACCCTCTGAATCCCAAAACTTGCCTGAGTCTTCGGAAGGTGTGCTATCTTTAAGAAATAGCCCAAATTATACCATTTATTAGAAACTGTAAACGCAGAAGGAATAGTTAGATTTTCAACTTTTTGCTCATTGAAGTTGCCTTTTCTACACTTTTGTTGTACTCTTGTTTTGTTGCACATTATTTCCACTACACTTAGCTCAGGGTTTTTCAACTTTTATTTTCAAATTTTGTATTTTCTTATTGTTTGTTTTTGCTTATTTATTAGTATTTATGGTGGTGGTAACGTTACTCTTTGTGCTGTAATAACCACATTTCCCCTTGGGGGTTAATGAAGTATTTCTATTCTATTCTATATCTTATCTGTTTAGAAAACTTCGCCATATCCAAGCTTCAGAGTGTTATATTTCAATAAAATCACTTTTTTCTGCATGTCTCATTTAAAAAGTCACAAAAACGTAAACATTTGCATAAACCAGATTCCCTAAAAACCAAAACAATATTTGCACATCAGTGCAACTGTGAAGCTTTTGTTGACTCAGCTGCAACCAGCAGCCATGTGACATAATTTAGTGACTATGCAAGGAATTAAATATAATTAATATAGTTTGTAGAGTCACTATTTTTCCAGTATTGGTAACAGGTGGGCACTTTTTTTTTCTCAATTTTTTTGTGAAATAAATAATAAAGGAAATGTTACTTTTGTTTTTACTTTTGTTGATGGTTTATGGCATTATAATTATATCATACTGCACAGAAGACATTTGTGAGTTTTTTCTGCTTCTAGTCGTGGCTGTGCTGTTTCCATAGAGGTGCAGGGTTTTATAATGTGATTAAAACTGAGTCCACAGTGAGTAAAAATGTGACTGGAGCAAAAAAAAACACCCAGAAACGGTTTGGGGTTCTGAGGTTTAATAGAATTAATGTCACTTTAAAGTTATTTAAGTCTGGTATTTAAATATTACACATTCACTTGGAAATATTAAGGATAAGATGCAGGTCTTTGCTATTTTTTTTTTTCATTGACACATTATAACACATAAAGTTTCCACCAGCACCCTATTTCACACACAACAGCACACAAACAGAACCAGCAGATTGCAAAGATTACCGTATTTATCACAGTTTGTCTGCGGATCCCTAAAGTCTTTAATTAACTTATGCAAAATTAAGGCGGTAATTGTCTTTAAAAATTACTGTTAAGTATTTAAATCCGTCTCTCAGAAGTCTTGAGGATACTACAGATGGCAGATGAGATTTGTCTCATTATCTTGCGGTTTAAAACGTTTTTAAGGAATAGGAAGGGAACACGGTGCCAGATGTGACCTCAGCTGCAAATGTTATTCTGTTTTGTGGTTTCTGTGAGATATTACTGACTCCAGCGGATAACATTAGGTAGCGCCGCCTTAAGTTGGTTGTAGCTGGTCACTGAGAGAAAAAGGAGATAAACCTGAGGACTTTGACATGCACTGGGTGTTCAAATTATACAACTCTATTGTTCATTGAAAACTGAGGAAAAGCACTTTCTGTCTTGTTTTTTCAGTTCTTTGGCTTAAATCTTGTGAGAGATTGCAGCTCTGTATGAGGCTGTATTGATTTACTAAACTTTAGTCTGTTTAAGGAGAAAACTTTAGACTGTAGATCACAAGTTTTGATGGTAAATCTGGGTGATATGTCCATTTACACCAAAGGAATACAGATTTATCTAATTATCACTCTGAACCTCCTGTAGAAATAATCAAACTAGATTTAAATTCAAGCTAAATCTGTCCTGCACGTAGACTATATCTCTTTCCTTCAGCTGTAAATTCATCAACTGTGCTCTGATTGGCTGCATTTAAAATACATTTAAAAGATATGACATTCATTTAACATGTAGTAATTGTAGAATAATGCCTTTCATAAATATGTTTTTCCATATGTAGCTTTCGTCTTGGAATTTGAATATATTCTTCTTTGGTGTGATATTTCAGGGTAATGTTCTCTTAATAATCTTCTTGTAAGATTCTTTTCAAGCTTAATGTTGAACTGCTGATCAGGTGAAAAATAAGAGCTTCCTGCCATATTTTAAATGTAAGGTCTTAAATTTCATCAAAGTGATCTTAAAAAGCTCTTAGATTTAACGTCCTTAAACCTGCAGATACCATGTTATCGAGTGTAGACTCTTTATAATGTCTCCATAAAAACCTCTTTTATACGTCCTGGATGAATAATGCAATCGACTATTAAGTCTGTGGGTTACTGATAGTGAATAAAATGTCAATTTTCTTGCAGTTCTGCTGAACAGCAGAACATATTTCCTGCCAGCTTTATAACACTGAAATATTCTGTAATCTAGAGGGACGTTTTCATTTGATTATTTTTTCTTATGCATGAGGAAATCATATTTGCACACTAAGTCACTTTAGAAACACTATAAATGAATCAATTTGAAGGTGTGGGAGAGAGGCTTTCTTGTTTTTTATCAGCGTAGCGTTTCTCCTCGGTTTGCTGTGCAGGTGCTGTATGCCCCGGTAAATTAATTTGTAAATTAAAGTAATTTGTTTGTTTCGTCTCACAGGTGGACGGAAACATTGCTGGGCTGATATATCATAATATTTAGCTCTGATGAAGGTATATGGCATCAGTAGATTGTATGGCTGCTGCACAGACATCCCACACAGTCATTATGTTTAATTTGCTCTACCTTCTCAGCTTGTTACCGTCGGCTTCACCAGACACCACTGCTGCTTGTGCTCATTAAAATGAGTTATCAAAGAAATACCTTTCCATAATTATTAGACTGTGTGAATATGCAGACACTGCTGATATGATTTTGACTACTCAAACTTGCAAATCTGATGCATCATGCAAGCTGTAATATATTTCTGTCTCAGCAGGATGCCTTTAAGTACTCATCTTAGCGTCTTGGTTCCTCCAGCACTAAATCAACCAATTTCAAGCGAGAATCTGCCTCTCTGATTCCTGCAAAGAATATTTTCTTCAGCACAGTTAATAGATGTGTGGCCAGAAGGCAATAAGCAATCAAAGTCTGGCATTGTCTTTTCTTCCATGTCGGTATTGTTCAGTCACTTTATGATTGTGAATTTTGTGATTTGCGCAGTCAAAATAGTTTTCGTCGTTGTTATTTAGTTCAAAATTACGCAGATATTTCTACCTCAAAAACCCTGAAAGTGTCACGTTTTTGTTTCTCTCACTGCAAGAGAGGGCATTCAGGGACGTTGGGCCATTGCAGCCAATCTTCTCAAGTCAAGTCAAGTTTCCACTGACCTCGAGAGCCTGACCAGCTCAATATTTTCACTTGTCAATACATCGGACACAGAGGAGCACTGAGTGTGACTATACTATACAGCGTTGTTGTGCACTTCCTGCAGGGCTACTACAAGCGCACACCCGCCTACATGCCCATCCGTAAGCAGGAGCGTCGTGGCTGTTTCGCCGTACCGATGGTTCACTCCACCTACCTGGTGGACCTGAGGAAAGAGGCGTCCCGTCAGCTGGCCTTTTATCCGCCACATCCGGAGTACAGCTGGGCCCTGGATGATGTTATTGTCTTCGCCTACTCAGCTCGCATGGCTGGTGAGACGAGATGTGCTTTTTTTTTTATGTGGCGAGCTTGTTAAATAACTCTCTGATTAAATGTGTTTTTTTTTTTTTCTCTGTTTTCCCTCAGATGTGCAGATGTACATATGCAACAAAGAAACTTACGGGTATTTCCCAGTGCCGATGCGTTCCCATGCGACCTTGGAGGATGAGGCGGAGAGCTTTCTGCACACTCACCTTGAGATCATGGGTGAGTCAAAAGAGCAAAGCAGAAACTCAGAAACACCGGCGTTTTCTTTGTGCTTAAAAGTTTTAGGATTTAGGTCTGAGTTTTCTTGTGATGAAGCGCTCAAACTTCAATTACGTCTCGGAACAATGGAAGTTTCAAATGCATTGATTTGTTGTTGCTCTAACCATCTTTCACTCTCCACGTCATGTTGTGCTGGTTTGCACTGTTGTGTTGCATTTAATTGATTTTCTTCCTCCTGCTGCAGTCGTTTCTTTTCTGTTTAAGACGTTGACAGATAAGCATGGAAACCGGTTCAGATGATACATACAGAACAACAGGGGAGGAAACAGAGCATACACAAAAAGGTTGTGCCATTAAGGTGCAACAGAAATGCAGTGACAGACTTGGTGTGACTGCAGCTTTATAACTCTGGGAGTTGAAAATATTCAAATCAGGACAAGGGTGGGTTCTGCTGAAACTGCCTTTTGTTCAATATGATTTTATCACATCATTACATTCCTCTATAGACTCCCTGCGCAATATTAAAAAAATCCATGCTGTAGCACCTAGATAATGAAAACTACTACCAGTCATCTTTACACATATACTGGGTTTGCTAAATTCCAGGTTGTAAAGTCAAATCATAAGTTAAACTATGGCTCATTTTTTGGGAGCTCCCCAGGGAATCCCCAGCAAATCACTTGTGGACCCCTGCTGTTCCCTGGACCGCGTTTTGGGAACCCCTGTTCCAACACATTACTCATTCTCTTTGTAACCTTCCCTCCTTTTTTCTTTGACAGTGAAAAATCCACCGTTGGAGCCCTCCAGCTTCCTGTCTCTTCCTCCCAAGCAGCCTAACAAGATGGGCTTTGATGAGGTATAAACACTCTCACACACGCACACATACACGCACACACAAATGTACACAACAACCAAAGCATGTGCGTGAGGTTTTTGCATTTGTGTGCACCCAGGTGTTTATGATAAATCTGGTGCGGAGATCTGACCGTCGTGAGCGAATGCTAAGAACTCTGTACGAGCAGGAGCTCAGCTGTAAGGTTGTTGCTGCTGTGGATGGCAAGTACGTTTCTCATCTTATTCCTCCCCCACTGCCTGTGTCGTCCTGATTTGTGTCTCTGCAACATGCGGTGTAGATTGATGTAGGAAGCCAGGGCTGAGACAAACAACCAGGCAAATGTAGCTGGTTGCATGCTGTTATTTAAAGATTCCCTGAACCACATAGTTTCAGCTCATTTGTGAGACACATATCACTCTAATCTCAACGCGGGCTCTCCAGAAATTAGGTTTGATTTGTTTTCTTCTGCTGTCTAAATGTAAACAACTGTCCTAACACCTGCCATGTTTATTCAGCCTTTCACGTACACGTAGCACATCACTAATCTTTTTATTCATCACGTCTCTTTCTCTCAGAGCTCTGAACAAGTCTGATATAGAGTCTATGGGGATTAAGATGCTGCCAGGCTACAAAGACCCTTATCATGGACGACCTCTCACTAAGGGTGAACTGGGGTGTTTCCTCTCTCATTACAACATCTGGAAGGAGGTAAGACACTTGGACGGGCCTCAGGCCACGAGGTCTGCCTGCACATAGTAGATAACATTTACTGTTAAAAAGCACAGTAATTCAGTTTGTTCGGTGGGATAAATAAACTTGTCTTACACAAACGGGCGACAAATAAAGGAAGAACCTGAACCCTCTGTCACCTATAGTGAGGGGATTCAGTGGCTCTGTTTTGCTGTAGGGGGGAATTTTGTTGATGCAGTTAGAGGAAAGGGTAACTGCAAATCAGTATAAAGTTGTTCTGAGCGTTCACCTTTATCCTGTGATGAAACATTTCCATCCTGATCGGAGTCTCTTCCAAGATGACAGGGCTCCCATCCATAGGGCTCAATAAGTCACTGAAAATATGAAGTTGATGTGAATTATATGCTGTGGCCTCTGTAGTTGCCAGATCTCTACCCAATTGAACTTTTTGTTAAGCTATCACCATCATCAGAACACTAAATGAGGGAATATCTTTTGGGAAAATGATGTTCAGTCACTCCAGTAGAGTTCAGGAGCCTTGGACAATCAATGCTAAGGTGCATTTAAGCTGTTCTGGCAGCACATGGTGGTCCAACACCTTAGTACAACACTTTATGATGGGGTTTCCTTTAATTTGTCACCCTATACAGTCTGTGTATGTTTTAGGAAATGCCTTTTTGAGTAACTTGCTACTTGGCACAAAAAATTCCAAATGGATAAACATATTCATGCCCACAGTTTTCTTTTCAATTATATCAGAAATAAAGTTCAGAATAAATAATTTACTTACTGTGGATAGTTTGGCATTCAGCCTTTTTTTTTGGATGGAATAATAGAGCAAAGAGAGGAGGATGACGCAGCACAGTCCAGCTGGCTATGAGGTCAACTGAGGACTCAGATGTGAGGGGCGTTTAAGTTCAATGATATAGACCCTAATTCCTTTTGTATTTAACTTTAAAAATATATGCTAGTGTCACCACAAATACTCCTTTATTTGTAATAATGTTGCACAAAGGACTAAAAGTGTTATTGATACCAGTAAAGGATTTAGCAAACATTACATTAATCGCCGTGCACTGTCATTAATGCAAACAGGCTCACCAACATCCTGGCAGCCCTCTAATACTCCAGATCCTATGTATGTGTATGTGTATGTGTGTGTGTGTGTGTTCAGATAGCAGAGCGCGGTCTAAAAACGTCCCTGGTCATCGAGGACGACCTCCGCTTCGAGGTGTTCTTCAGACGTCGCCTCCAGACGCTGCTGCAGGAGGTGACGACACACAAGCTGGACTGGGATCTCATGTGAGTGACGCTTCAGCGAGCAGAGGGAAAAATACAGCGCAGTAAACAGAGAGGATCATCATCCCCCTACAGTGAAATCCATCCATCTGTCACACATATCATCTCAGACAGCGCCAATCAGATGCTGAAAACACTTGTGGGAGTAATGCATCTTAGCATCCCACTACTGAGCACTGTCCTCCAGCATTTTCACAGAAACTGTATCAGAAAGTGTCCATCAGGGAAGTTTTTGGCGTGACTCATTAAGAGATTAAAACAGATTAAAAGTTGTTGCAACAGTCCTGCTCAAATTACTTGATGTAAGTCTGAGATTCAGCAATTTTAACTGTTGTCAGACTTGATATTTTCTCTTTTATCTTTCTATAGTTACATCGGGCGAAAGCGAATGCAGGTAGACCACCCAGAGAAATCTGTACCAAAAATCCACAATCTGGTGGAGGCGGATTACTCCTACTGGACACTCGGCTACATGTTGTCATTACAAGGAGCCCAGAAGCTCCTCAAGGCCGAGCCTCTGACCAGAATGCTACCTGTCGATGAGTTCCTCCCTGTTATGTATGACAAACATCCAGTGTGAGTATATCCCATCTTCTCCTCTCATAATCTCCTTCCTATATGTCACTTTTAAAAAAAGAAATTCTGTCTTGTGGCACTTCATCTAATTGCGTCCCCGCCCCTCTACCTCATCAGCTCAGAGTACATGGACCCCTTTGAGCGTCGAGACCTGCGTGCATTTTCTGCTGAGCCGCTTCTGGTGTATCCGACCCATTACACAGGAGACCTGGGCTACATCAGTGACACGGAAACATCGGTGGTTTGGGACAACGAGACAGTCAGAACTGACTGGGACCGAGCCAAGTCGAGGAAAACTCAGGAGCAGGGGGAGCTGAGCTTCGAGGCCCAGAACTCCGACGTGCTGCAGTCTGAACTGGAGAACTGGAGCGCACGGGACGAGCTGTGATGAAGAAGGCACTGGGACGGGAGGGAGGAGTAAGAGAGAAAGAACTCTGGCATACAGAGATTAGGACGAGGGGAGATAGAACATAGCTGGGATAGAGGCGGGGAGACGGGAAGTATGGATGGAACATAACAGAAAGCAGGAGTGTTACGCAGATGGACACTGGGCTGATGAGAAACAAATGCTTTTCCTTGTACATTTCTCTCCACTGTTGGAACTTTCTCTTGAGAGAGGAGGTTAGATGTAGAGATAACTCTTGAAGAGTCAGCTAGCAGCTTTTTTTTTTATTTATTGCATCCAACACACATCCCTTGTCCAGAGCCCTGGTCCATTAATAGTTATATTTTTTATCTGATTTTTTCCCCCCAGACTCATGCAATAATCAAGTAAATGTCCCCCTTGTGTATCTTGTAACAAAATAAGAAGATCTGGAAGAAGATTAGATAATAATTACACATTAAAATGCCTCTAAAGAAACATATCTTTGCCAAAACTTCCTCTGATTATATGTTAAAGCTGCAGTATGTTCTGGGTCAAAGTGGGAGCCTCTAAAATATACAAAGATGGTATAACATTTGTTTTTGTACTGACTTAAATGTTCTCTTGGAAGAAATCCAAATCACTAAAACATTGCCTTTGCTGTGCTCTCAGTGGTTCCCAATCTGTTTGGCTCATGACCCCTTAAAAAAAAACTGGCTGCATGTCTGTTAATAATCGCAAAAGTAAGAGCAAAGAAAACAAGCAGAACTTTCTGTAGAAGAAATATATCGATTTTTTTCTCGTCAAATCATCATGTGACACTTCAGACTGATCCTTTTTTTCCCCCAAACCCAGATTGGGAACCACCGCTTTGTTTTGCTTCTCTTCTAGTGACTCAACATCTTACTGTTAATTTAGCTCCATTGAGTTCACTCTACATTTTTTGTTACTATACACCTAACCTTACTAACCTTTCACTAATGAATGTATCTTTGTTTCTTCACTCGTTAAAAAAGCATTTTCACACTTGGACGGCAGCAGAATCGATTTAATGTTTTAGAGTTTTTGTTTTTTTTTCTCCGCTCACTACATATTGCAGTTTTAACCAAGACGAGCAGCTTTTGTTGCATTTTGTTTGTTTGAAACAAATGAACACAGATTTTTTTTTTTAGTAGCTTTTCATGTTTTGTCTCTTCTCTTTGTTTGTAAAATGTGTCTCTTTTTTTTGTGGTGTTGTTTTTACCAAAGGATGAATAAAACCTTTATTATGAAAGGCTTGTTTGTGTTTTCTACTTGACTTGGCCTACAAATGTGAAGCGCATCAGCATTTAAATCTCAGTTAAAAGTATACACTGACACTCGACTAATTATGGGTTCATTACAAGCCAGAGCTGCAGCGGCTAAAATATCAAAATAGCTACACTGCCTCTTTTTTTTTTTTTTGGCACACAGCAGTTTTATTTCAGTACAGACATGTACAGTCCAGTGGAGACTTCTTTTAATTAGTGCCTGCTGGTGTTTCCCTGCTCTGTAAGTACATAATGGTCAGTTTGGGCTGCAGCAGGCCACCATTACTCCTCTGCACTCCTCTGTGTTTATACTCATAATGTCCTATTCATTGTTGACCTGTGGAGCGTGCCCCTGCTTCATGGACTCCTTTACAGTTGCATATTTGCATCCGAAATTAAGAGTTTGTTATTGAATTAGGAGGAAAATTATACTTAAACTGGCTTTATTAAAAACAATCTGTGTGTGCATTTCCAATCTCTTTACATTAGATATACTATGTCGTCCCCAAAGTATTATTTGCATTTTACAGCTTTGCACAATTACAGACACCGTGATGATGAAACAAAAGCACATAACAAGGCTCAGAATACGCTTTATATCTGTAAAACCATGTGTGAAAACATTACCGTTTAAAACATGCACATACATTCACACATTCATAAAAAAAAGGGAAAAAAAATCAACATTTTTGCTGTTATAAGAGCAGCACAGTGCACCTTTCATAAACCAGATGAATGCTGCCGGTAAAACAAAAACCAAGGATCCGCAGATCAACCTTGTCAATCAAAAGTGTGGCCTGACACATCAAGGGTTCGGATTGAGCTGTTGTTTGTTGGGATGTGCGACTGAAGTGGGAACAAAAGACAGTTTAAAATGGTTTCTTTTGTTTGCAGACTCTGTGACGTCTGCCTGAAGGTTGTAGTTTGTATTCTGAAAATAAAACGTGCCAGGGATCTTCGGGATCTTGCGCGGATGTCTGACAACAAGGTGCTTTGTTTACAATGATATTAATTTCGGAGATTTTGTCATCGCTCTTTTGCAGATGCCCGAAGCTCTGTGAAACTGTATATTGGCACAAATTTTTAAAAATGCTAATGTGATTCATGCCAATGTTTAGCTGAGAATATTTAGAGGTTCACCACCTTAGTTCAGCATGTTACCATGCCAACATATGCTAATTAGGTAAAGTAAAACTGAGCATCAGTGGGATGTTAGTATTTGTTTAGTGGTTTTAGTGTTTGGCCCTCATCATATTTAACATACAAGGACAACCATATCAAATTAGAAATAAAAATCACTGCAGATACAATAACAAATTTCTTAGTGAAATATTATTAGTTATGTAGTTATTAGAGACGTAAAGATCTGTATGATTTTGGGAAAATTAAATAAATTTGCATAGTGTGTGAAACGTATTTTTCTTTAATGCAAATTGCAGCGTTCATCACCAAGTACAATCCACAATAGTAGCTAAATTTACCATCCTTTGATTCATGTGTGGGCTGCAAGGTGGAACAGTTGGTAGCACTGTTGCCTCACAGCTAGAAGGTCACCGGGATCTTTCTGTGTGGAGTTTGTATGTTCTCCCCGTGCAGCGTGGGTTCTCTCCGGGTTCTCCGGCTTCCTCCCACAAGTTCCAAAAACATGTTGAGGTTAATTGGTGATTCTAAATTGTCCGTAGGTGTGAATGTGAGTGTGCTTGGTTGTCTGTCTCTAAGTGTAGCCCTGTGATAGACTGGTGACCTGTCCAGGGTGTCCCCTGCCTTCACCCTGAGTCAGCTGGGATAGACTCCAGCCCCCCGGGACCCTAGTGAAGCGGTGTATAGATAACGGATGAATGATTCATGTGTAATTTAATTTTTTTGTAAAGTCAATTAAACATTATTTGAGTTATAGTTACATGTCTATGCCGAATCTGGCCAATATTGATCTGCTTGCCTTTGTTACCTAAAACACCAACTCTGATGCCATCCAAAACTATATTATGAGATATATGATTACAGCCAAACACATCTTGTTGCACTGAGAAGCAGAACGAAGTCCTTAAATCTTTCTACTTAAATTTTTCTCCATTTCCATCTAGAAAATGATCATGTTTGTGTTTTTCCCACATTCACACCTCGTCCCGATCATGCTCCGACCGCACGTCAATCAAATGCATGACACATTATTTTAGTCTTACCTTGTGTAATAGAACATAAATATTTAATGTAACAGTTATAAAACATTTCATTATAAAATTATTTGTCGTAGTTTTGGCTTTGAACATCATCTGATTACAGGAAGAGCAGCTTTTAGGGTTGTCGACAGAGCACAGGATGAAATTTGTCCCTGTCCTTCAAAATGACTGACGTAAAGTGTGTGATACTTTAAATTAAGACCCACGGTCAGCATGAATGCAATAAATATTTCCATCTATTAAATCTGCACAGGTGAAACTGGAAGTTTTTGACTGTTGTGTTTCAGGACCCCAAATATAATCATATTTTTAAAGTTAAAACATGTCAAACTGAAGCAGAAAACAATAACATGAAGTCATCAAGCAAAACAACGACTGACAAAGACATGAAAAATCTAAAAGATTGACTAAAGCAACAGTGGGACATGACAAAGGGTACATTTCCAGGGTCTGCAGGTCCCTCAGGTGGCATAGTCATAAACCTAACACTGGATAAATGTAAGTTTTGACTGAACTGGAGGTGGAAAGCAAACCAAAGTTACAACAGTTCATCCTGAGAGGAACAAAGCAGTCCATCGACCCACAGACAGACTCACACTGGCACCAGCACAATAAAACCCTGGGCGGCCGTGTTTGCTCACATGTGCAAAATATGTTTATGTGTGTTATATGTGGAGTTCGTGTTTGTGTGCGTTCGCGTGCAGTGACGCATGTCTGTGTGACTCAGACTAATCCTATTAGATCACTCTCTCTCCCACCTCTATATTTACCTCACCCCTCTCCCTCAGATTAACCCGAGTATTTTCTGCAAGTGCCTCTGCAGATCAGTAAGCACTTTTCCGCCGCACGACATTGGGGCACCAGACTCAAACTGCCGAGTTTTTCCTTGACGCTCTTCGTCCCGACTGTGAAATCACCTTGATAACAGGAATGCAAAAGAATCAGCATTATGCTTCGGGTGTAATATTAAGACTCCAGCTGGCCCTGTTGGCTGTGAATGAAAGGGTGAAGCAGGTGAAGTGGCTTCACTTGATACATGCATAAAACTTATCTCCCTCTTCTTTGTGTTTCAATCTCCTCTCCACCACTTGACCTACAGTGCACGTCTGTCCTCTCTTTGGAATCCAATTTGTCCTCTTTCTTCATCCTTCCTTTCCTCCCTCCCTTCTTCTCTTTAAGTAATAAGATTGAGCCCGAGTTTTAGGACCCAACAGTGCACACAAATACACACAGACAGCGGCGACCTCTGACCCTCAATTACAGCAGCGCCACACCTCCAGCTATCTGTAATCTCCCACAGCAGAGCACAGAGTGCAGGGCGAGCAAATTACAGAGAGAGGCAGCGAGAGGTGTCACTAACATAACAAACTTCACAGGATTTAAAGGAAGAAAGAAAACAAATCAAACAAAGAATACAATGGCTTGAAAGGGAAGAGAAAGTCTGGATATATTTCCTTTCTTGTGGGAGTCGAGGAGTTTCAAGGTGAGGTAAATTACTTGTGTATATTCAGCTGCCACGGCACGTACAAAGATTGACAGCCTATTAAATTAGCCACTAACAAAGCACAGCAGTGTTGCTAGTGTATATCAGATGCGATCGATCAGCTTTAAAAAGTGAAGCAGATGATTGTGAAATAACTTTTCCAAATGGATTTAAGTTCTGACCTTTCTAAGTCTTACAGTAAATCCTCTTTTTTTTTTCTTCTTCTTTTTTTTTTTTTTGGTGTGCAGGTATAAGGTCCAATGCCGCTCAATTTCAAACATATTTCTTCAACATCAGCCCTGGAAGTTTCAGTCCCAGAATTGTAGTCTCAAATAGATCTGGCACAGCTCAGAGCCAAAGAGCCAAATCTAATTTGTGAGGTTATCGCTGTCAATTCACAGCCTGCAGTGACGGCTGCGACAGAAATACAGGCTGGCCGAGACAGATAAAGCACATTTCTCAGCTTTTAGGCCCGAACTTTATTTCTGTACCTGAAATTTATTTCTCATGTGGTTGTTTTGTTCTCGGCCATAAGTCTGCTCTTGAAAAACACCATCCGACAAAAGCCTTATTCATCCTGGTCAGGTGGTTGGAGCTGGGCTGTTGTGTTGTAATTAGATCATGATTACTTTTGTCTACAAAACCTGTTGCAGCCTGCAGACTGGAGACTGGACGTGCTTTAGTCGGTCGCTTCAAGGATCGCTTCGAGGAAACATCCACCACTTACATTTCTGAACCTTTTCTTTTTTTTTGTATTGAGTGTTTTTCTGGTTGCTACAGACACTGTGACTCAGTCAATTAGTTAAATTACAGGACAACAGGACGTCTCGAGTGCATGTATTCAGTACAAACAATAACAGCTCAAATTTGCTCCCTTTCACTAAATGACTCACTCAATTTCTGCTTTTTATTTCAGAGCCTGTAGATCAGTTTGTTCCTTTGTAGACCGGTCCAGCTGGTTACAGATATTGGCATCCTAATAACTGGCTACATCTAAAGCATTTCAGACAATTTGCAAACCTGTATCATCAGTGGAATCAAACTGCTCCATTTTAAAGTGCAACAAATTGTGGTATCAATCGCTCCGATTTACAATTTTGCAGCAATATGTGGTAATCATGTTTGTGTATATAAATCACTAGTGGCTATGCTGTTAAAAGATACCACGCAATAGTGTCTCAGCTAAGTTATAGAGGTTTTGTTCAGTGATGTGTTTAAGATAAATATAAAGCATCAGAGACGTGAACTTAGTGTCTTGGTTGTCTCAGTGTGTTACGCCTGCATTTACTTGTAAAACACCAGTCGGTTTTGATGCATGATTTTTATTTTTTTTTTATGTTTAAAAGCCCCTCAAGACATAGTGTACAACAACAAAATAATCTTCCAGTGTCAGAGGTGTTTTTGTTTTCTGCTTTGCTGTGGTCAGAAGTCCTGCTTTGTTTGCACCTGGAAGCACATCTGATGCTGATGCTGCAGGATCCTGGAGATTTTCAGCATTGTTATCATTGACTCTTGCTTATTTCATCATCCCGATTTTATTCTAAGGCAACAAACTGCATAATGTGATGCAGCTATAATGGGCCTTTTCACAATTCGGGGGGGAAACAAAACATTCTGAGGTGCTTTTGCAGTTATTGTTTGCGAGTGCATATACAGACGACAACTGTGTGCAACAGCTTCACACTCATTTTTTCTGTGTTGAAAGTCACTCTGGGAATCAGGGAAAATTATATTTACTGCAAAGTTCAACTCCATCCAGCCAGAATCAATGCAGGCAATAGACTGCATGAGCAATGATAAAGGTCACACGTGTGTATATACTGTATTGTACATATCCTGTGGCACATGTATATTCAGATCTGTATGTGACCATCCTTTCTCCACAGAGGGCTTCCACTCTTTCCTGTCTTTCATCATGGTGGACCTGTTCCTAGACCGAGTTCTGGTGGAGAACAACTGGGACCAGGACGAACGCAACACCGAGCGTGAGATCAGCGGGCTCCTCGAGAACCGCATCCTGATGCTGTTCTTTGCTGCTGCAGAGTGCAGGAAGTGCCAGGAGTTTGTGCCTGTTCTGAACGACTTTTTTAAGAGGCTGAAAGACCCGGCGTACATCGAATACCCCAAGCTGCTGGCTCTGATCTACATCAGGTTTTTCTTTTGATTAAACATTTTTTGCACACATTCGATTGTATAAACCATGCTGTTTTCTCAGTTGTAAGATTTCCTTCTTCTGTCTCCAGCTTGGACCAATCAGAGGAGCAGCAGGAGAAAGTCCTCAAAGAGATGCACAAACGGGTCCTGTTTCTGACCTTTGAGGACCCATATAGGAGGTAGGTTGAAGAAAGTAGGAGGCTTTTTAATATATATATATGTTACTTGTGTGAGTACTCTGCAAATTAACCCGTGTGATCTTTTAGAACTGTCTATCCATAAGTAGTATGCATGTTGACATCTACCTGCGTGTCCTTTCTGTTTTTCAGGGAGCTGCAGGCCATGTTTAAGGTGAAGGACGTACCAACAGTAGTGGTCCTGCGGCCCGACGGCTCTGTCCTCTCTCCGAACGCTGCGCAGGACATCTGTCGCTACGGTTCTGACTGTTTCCAGAACTGGCAGGAATCGGCCGAACTGGTTGAGCGGACCTTCATGCTCAACGAGGAGTTTGACAACCTCGCGCCCTTTCGTAGCGCCACCGACCCCGTGAGGAGGCTCAAGTACAAGACAGAGGACGACAAGAGGAAAAAGAAATGGTGGAACTTGTGGGGGAAGGGAAAAGATGCAAATGAAGAGGAACAGGAGGAGAAAGATGAAACTTGGGACACCAAGAGAAAGGAGGGAAATAAAGGAATATGGAGGAGAAGATGAGGAGAAGGTGTTTTAAAAAGCCTCCATACTGTGTATAAACATACTGTGTATGAAATGATCTTGCTACTGTTACTGTTTTCCTGTTCTCACTGACTAGCCATTGTATATTTTAATGGAGTTTATATGATTAAGATTAGAATTTTGTTGTTGTTACAAATAATGTCATTGTCGTCACTGTAAACTATTTCTGGCCATATTAACCTCTATAAATCAATGTTTCTGTAAAAACTGTGCTTTAAATGACTGTGTGTAGTGAAAATAATCACATGTAATGACAGCTGTGCAGCTCTACAGGCATTTTATCCTCCTTTGGCTCGTTTTTTTAAACTTTTCTGGTGAGTTGATTCAAGTCCAACTACTTCATTTCCAGCAGCATCAGGCAGCTGTTCGCAGGAGAAAAAAGAAAAAAAAAATAGTACAGTGCAGTCAAAAGTACAGCCAAAAATCAACAGGCTGTATCTTACTGCAGCGTGGTAAAACAAACAAGGTGAAGAAAATCCAATTTGTGCAGCTAATGGCCCAGATATTCTATTTTTCTGAGTAGTTGTTGTAGACAGAGATGAAAGCTAAAAAATAGAGCTACAATGGAAGTGAATGGACTTAAATTCATCAGAAAACAAGTCCCAGTGGAGGATAACGTCTGCAGGATGTGTAAACAGGCAACTATTTTCAATCAGGGTTTGTTTTTTCAGCTTTTTGTGAAGTTTTTAGATGCCAAAATGGTGAAAAAAAACAGAAAAAAAACAGCCGTGTATTATTGCAGCTTAAACTGGATCTGATGTTTTAATCAGGCACGTGCAGAGGGGCAGGGAGCAGCTGCCCCTTAATGGCCAAAGTGCCCTTTTGTCAAAGTTGGGATATTTTTTTGTTTGTTTTGTTTTGTTTTGTTTTTTTAAGTGTCTGTGTGAAAGTGTGTGTGGCCCAAAATAATAAATAAAACAATAATAATAATAATTCAGCTCTCTCGGTTGGTCACGTGATCTACGTAGAAGTCCCTCACCGCCCTGAGGTGCTCTGGAGCTAAGAGCTACCACTGCTACTACTAGCCTAGAAACCCGAGGGAGGACTTCAACAACTGATGGTGCTGTGAGTGGGTTTTGCAGCGGTATTCGTTTGTGCACGGTGTATTCATGCAAGATGACTGACGAAGTGAAGTGAGCATCCTGTGTGTGTGACTGTGCGCATACCTCTCATAAGTTATAGTCAAACACACACCGCGTGCTGAGGGGAAAAGGTATGTCAGGCTTGTTTTTGTTACCTTTTGTTACCTTCGCCAAGTCCTCAGTCCTCACCGCTGTCTTCTCAGTAGTACAGGAGGAAGCTACAGACAGGCGACATTACAGAAGTGGGCTGAGCGGAGCTACTGACAGATAAGTTCATAACGACTTTGTGACATTAACAATGACTCAGCATGTCTCCTGCTTCACTTTAACTCTCTTTGCCATGTGTCATGATGACTGACTCGTGCTTCCTTGCGTCAGTCATGCTTTTCATTTACGTTGCTAAAGTTGTGCTAACCTAGCTTAAGCTACTCCTTGTCTGTTTACGTTAGCAACAACATGGCTGTAGTTATGCTAACCTAGCATAGCGTTAGCTAACAGCTGAAAAACCAATAAGTAAGTACAGAAATAAGTGTACACAATATTTGAGAGTACAGAACGACCGTTCATCACTCCGTCAGCTTGTTATTGATGATATCAATGTTAATTCAAATGATAAAGGTATGTTTTGATTATCCATGAATCTAATAGTAGTTCAAATGAATGAAGGACTTTAACGTTGGCCTGAAATCACAATATGGTGGAAATGAGCTGCTTGGCGGAGGTCTGCGTCTCCAAGTGCCTTTCTAGTTTCTATATGTTTATTTTGTCATGGGCAAAGTGCATGAGAAAGATGTATGATTTTGCTGTTAAGTGTTTCTCCTGTTTCTAGAGGCAATGAGGCAAAGGTTATGTTATTTCACTAAAACTATGCAATGTACATGCATATTCACATCATTTTGGACTATTACAGTATAAATACAACAACAATAATAATTACAAGAATTTGAATTGTGATTTTTTCAAACTCTCATTTATTATTTGTTTAGAACATTTGTATATATATATACACACACGAATTAAATATAATATGCATAAATATAAAAACTTGGCTGCAGTCTCTCAGCAAGGAGTCCCCTACAAACAATCAGCAGTGTGGCAGGTCACAGTAGCCATTTTCAATGTTAGTTATCTTTGCATCTTGTCATGATCATATAACACTTGTTTAATCAGCTGCTATCTCTCCCGTTGCTCTTTTTAGTGTCTCAGATCAATACAGCCCACCTCCAGTGATACCATCAGCAGCAGCAGCCTCCTCACCAACCCCCTCAACAGAAGCTGTTCAGTGTGCTCCATCAGGTCAAACATAGCCTGCCCCCTAACAAGGACGTGGGGTGTGGACAATGATATGGTATGTTGTGATTCCACGTTAAATTCTTTATGAATATGGGCTGCTACAATTCAACCAGTTAAATTGTGAGTTATGTTTCAAATTTGTGCTCCATGTGCCCCCTTTTAACTTTGAGCACCTGCCCCTCCAAAGGTCTCTTAAAGGTAAAATGATTGTCAAGCACTGTATGTGTTGGGCTTTTTATTTTTTTTAGCGTTAAGGAATGTTTCCTCAGATTTTTATATCGTTACTAAATAGTTAAATATAAGTTGAACTGATGTCCGCAACAACTCAATAAATTCCGTGATCTTTCCAACCCAAACTGTGTCTGTAAGTCGCCGCTGTGGTTTCATGGCCATATTGTGCAGTTCCCGGCGGAGCGAATCAAACTATCACTATCCAGATATTCCCCGTGGTTCTGCTCTTCCATTAGTTACTGAATAATAAAGGTCTCACTGTGGCTCACTTCATTAAGGCCTTTTTTATTCCTTTAAGCACGTCTCTCATTCTGTAATTTCCACTGTCTTTATTCAGACAGACGTAATTGTTCAGTCACTGCTTTCACATACACACAATTAGAGTGAGCACTTCATGTTCCTTGTCCCTCTGTCACCTTGTCTTTCAATCCCTCCCTTCCAGACAGAGGAGGGGAGGTGGAGTGCAGAGACACAAAAGAAAGAGGGAGTGCGCAGCTACTGCCACCAAGGTGAAGGAGACAATGAGTGAATGTGATACAAACTGACAGACCGGGAAGTGATTCAAGTGTGATCAAGGGGAGAATTTGAAAAAAAAAAGAGAAACTAAAAACCAGATTTTTGAAGGCTATTCTTTGTTTGGATGTGCTGCCTCGAGGGGAGATAATATTTGTTCGAGGTAAGCAACTGTGAGGATTATCCGATTTAACTACCAGGAAAGATTATATACTGTAATAGACGTGTGTGAGTGTGGCTGAGGAGAAACATAAAGAAATGCGCAGGGTAAAATCACCAAATCATGAAGATAAGCCTTTGCAAATGTCAAGACTTTTTTTTCATATATTCCGTTATGTTTGTTAATTTGTGTTGTCTTTCTGTTTGGCGCTGATTTGCATACAATATGAAAACCCTTGCAGCCATCTGTTTCCATTTTGCTATTGTGCAAAGAAGCAGTTTTTTTCTTTCTTTCTGCTAATTCCCAGCACTGATCACTGTGACTCTTCGTCATGGTGGACCTGTTCGTCGATCGGGTCCTGGTGAAGAACAACAAGGACCAGGATGAGCTGGACACGGAACGTGAGATCGTCATGCGCCTGCAGAACCGGATCCTCATGCTGTTCTTTGCGTCTGCTGCGTGCGAGACCTGCCAGCAGTTTGCTCCCACGCTCTCTGACTTCTTCAAGCAGCTGACGGATGAGTTCTACGTGGATCGCTCCGCTCAGCTGGTCCTCCTGTACATCAGGTACAGCACGCATTAAGGTGTTTGGTATCGCTTTGAATAGATTAACTCGGAGACTTTATCCCCTGCCTCAGTCTGGAATGAAATCTTTCTATGTTCAGATTATTTGTACATATGTGCATTAAGCACACTGCATGTATGATCCATATCAGTCCCACTGGAAACGATAGAACCACAAAGACTCTATCTGTCCATTAATCTCCCAACAGTCTGATCCTCTTTTTTTCTTTCATCCCTCAGCTTGGACCAGTCAGAGGAACAGCAGGAAAGCTTCCTCAAAGAGCTTCCCAAGAAGTGCCTGTTCCTGGCCTATGAGGACCCCTACAGGAGGTGTGTGAGATTAGTTGTGTGTCCAACCTGCTGGCGATTGATTGTAATGTAAATACACCTAGCTGCACAAGCCCATTAGCCCTAATGCCAGCGTGTATATGCGGCCCACAGGGAGCTGGAGGTCATGTTTAACGTGGAGGAGCTGCCCACGGTGGTGGTGCTGCGTCCCGACTGCTCCGTCCTCGTCCCCAACGCGGTGGACGAGATACTTAACCTGGGAACGCGCTGCTACCGCAACTGGCGGGAGGCGGCGGAGCTCATTGACAGGAACTTCATGCTCAACGAGGACTTTGAAGAGAAGTCCATGCGCAGCTTCAGCGACCCAGTGAGGAGGCTTAAGTACAAGGTGGAGGACGAGAAGAAGAAAAACAAGAAGAACAAGAAGCGCAGAGGGTGGGGTGGAGGTGGAGATGAAGGCGTGGAGGCGGACAGAAGAGGGGATGACAAGGAAGGAGGAGGGTCGCCGTGGTGATGGAGGAGAGGAAGACTGAGGATTTGTGGCCAACATTATCAAGATTAGTTATAGTTTGTTACAGGCCGAACAAAAACTGCTTTTACAAGATGCAGTTATTTCTCATCCTGATGTTATTGTGACCGACTCTGCTGTTCAAACTCAGTTAGAAGCCAACGCACAGCTCCGGTGTAGGCCTGCGTATGCCAACAACAATACAAGATAATGTACAACATCTAAAGGAGCACTGAACGCTGCTAACCAACACTGACCTCAGCTCCACAGTGTCTTTGAATGCTGCCAAGTACACAGTCAAGATAATGTTTGGTCTGAGCCAACTCCTGCCATTACGGCTTGTTTTATCACACCCAGGAGATTATTCTAACCATTTCTCCGTTTTCAACAACACAGCCTCCGCAATGCACTTTTTAACATGATAATTTGCACCGTCCAATCAAAACACATCGTGCATAATCTGAAATCAATGAATTATTCAGCGCCATTAAAATAATTTTGTTAGTGACTGTTTTGCTTTGAGTGTTTGTGAAGTCTAGCTGCACTTTATAGGCTGCACAAGTAGCAATCAGGGCCATTCAAAGGGGAGTCAAGTGAAATGATGGAGAAACTGGCTTTACTAAATAATCAGTGATTTCCTTTTGACTGCAGCTCGTCTTCTTTCACGCTGACAACCATGTTTGGAGTTGGAAACACTCCCTCGCACTGCACTGATGATGCTTTTATGCGATCAGTCATGATCTTCATTTGCAGCAGTTTCACACGGCAGAGAGGAAGATGGGAGGTTTTACTTGTGTCTTCTATCCTCTAAGTGACCTGAGCTTTAACTACCTGCTTCCAGTGCTTGTAAAATTCAAATACAAGAAGCTGCACAGCAATGACAGCAGCAGAACTGGGGTTAGAAGTGCCTCGGAGAGACACAAGATGAAATCAGAGTATCATCAGGTGTCATCAGGGTTTGATTGGTATGGATTGATGTGCTTCAGAACAAGCAGTGGCGTAGTGATTTATTCCAAAAGCTTATAGACAGATTGACAAATAGGTCATGTTTGCTATCAGAGCTGCAGGAAACAAAGCTCATTTTCATGGAAATATTACACATGCCTGTGGACGCTGTGCACCGTGCAGCACAGGCAGCACAATAGCTCCCCTTTTCCTCCGTGATTTGGCCGTGAAACTGTAAACCAGAGCTGGTCAGACGTGCAGAAAAAGGAAAAAGACAGATTCCTCAATAAACATGAGCCACTGCATATTCCATATTCCTTTCGCTTTTGCCTACACAGCAGCTTATTGTTGCTCACTCAGACAAACCTTGACAATATAGTCGAAGCCCCTCCATCCCCTGCCTCCCTCCCTCCCTCCATCCTCCCTCCATCCTCCCTCCCTCTCTCTCTCTCTCTCTCTCTCTGCACACGTACACACGCGCACGCATAAACACTCACACGTGCGCACACAAAAAGCACAGACGCGTTGCGCGCTCTCGAGTGCAGAACGCGCAACAAGCGGACCAGCGGATGGAGAGAGAAGAAGAAGAGAGAAGGACGGATGCAAGGCGAGGCCAGGAGCGGGAAACCTTATCTCTCCTGGTCGTCCAGCTGTTGTCCTTTTTTGTTGTTTTTTATTAACGTCATTTTATAACACGATCCTCTCCTCTTTCTTTTTTTATTTTTCTTTTCTTTTTCTTTTTCTTTTTTAAAAAAGCAAAACAACAAAAAAAAAAAAATCCGGACACATCTCCGTATCCGTCCTGATGTGCCGCTGCGCCTCATCACGATTCTTCAAGGATATGCAAAGCGGCTGTTTTCACGTCGACGTTATTTTCCAGTAAAGAGAAAAAAAAAATGCAAGGATGTACTTAATGGACGGAAGCGTACGATCAACAATGACAACTGGGCTTGGTGAGCCGTAGGGGGGGAAATATATATCGACGGAGGGACGCAGAGCAGCTCACGGTTTGTGCGTTCATTTGCGCCTAATTATTGTTTTTCGTGTATTTTCCCTCCCTTCGTCCGTCGGAGCTGTAAAAAAGGGGCCTGTTAGCCTACAGCCCGCATCATCTCTGGGCATGAAACCCGTGGGAATTATGATACCAACGTGACGCACAGTCACACAGCACAGCGGGGAAAGACATCGAGCCTCGACAGGACGGAGGGGAGGGTGTGAGGTCCAGCAGAGCACAGCCTCTGCGCGCTGATCACAGGAGGGAGGACGCCCAGTTGTTGTTGGACACAATCGCGCTAATGACTGCTGTATAGTCCCCCTCCTCTTCCTCGGCAGGTACCATCTCCACCGATTTGAATATTTGAATTTTTTTTTTTTTTTTTTAATTTTTTCATGCATCGGGCACAGCGGAGCGGGAGAAAGGGAGGAGAGTACAGTGGGTGAGGGCGCGGAGAGACGGGATGCGGGAGACGCAGTGAGAGAAGGAGGAGGAGGACGAGGGAAACCGGAGGATTGACGGTAAGATATGGATGTAGGCTATGAGGATGCACCCCGCCCCTCCTCTCCTATCCTCTCCCCTCCCTTACCCTCCCTCCCTCTTTCTGTTCACAAGAGCACATACATGATCAATGCCCGATACAACACAGCAGAGGTGCCCTGATCCTTCTTCTTCCTCTTTGCTGCTGCTGCTGCTGTCAAAGGCCATTTGATCGACAGGGATCTGATGCGTTCAGGCTCCTACCACTGGCTGCCATTAAAGCTGGGTCAGTAGTATAGCAGGGCTGTGAAATATTCATGGGCACGTGATTAGCCTCCTCTGGGCCTCACAGGGGAGAAAAAGTGGCGTAATGACTTAGGATGTCCCAAGCTGGCACACCACAGTGGGGTCTGTCACGGGTGGTGCTGTATTATGTTCATTATCACACACCTGAGGTTGCAGCATCTTGTGTGCTGCAGTGATGTAAACACACACACACACACACACACACAATTTAAAGGCAAGGTTTGGTTTGCTGATTCACCACAGATGGGAACATGAGGAGAAGCAGAGGAAGAGGAGGCTGATAGAGTGAGAGTCCATTATCAATATTTCAGAGAGGGAAAGAGATGACTGGGTCAGTGGAGGAGATCAGGCAGGAGGGACCGTGAAGAAGAGGGAACGTGAATGAGGAGAAAAAGGATGGAGGGAGAGCTGAGCGGCTGACAGGAGTCCTGCTCTTCTGTCAGGCTCAATTTCGGAGACATCTGTAACCTTGCGTGTGTGGGAGGATATCATTTGTGTCGTATTATTTTCACCGGTGTCACATTAAAAGGGGGATAACTGAGGAATATGTTGGGATTTTAATAAGGTGACTCGCCTAGCTGTGTCCGTGCCCACACTGTGCATGTTAGACAGGAGAGAGAAAACAAAGGTAATGAGGTTTGTTTCCATGTAGGGATCATTTACATCAAGCACTCTGGAGGGAGAGAGAGAGAGAGAAAAAAAAGCAAAGTGATTTGCTTAAACCACTCACGCACACATGCGTGCACACACATACAATTTGGATGGATTTTCTGTCATTTGACTTGTAAAAACGCACCATATTTGTCTCGCTCCGTTCCAACCACCTCAAACAGGTTCATATCATGTCTCTTTGAATCAGTCTGACACACTGAGTCAGTCTCCCTGTTTGTGCTGTGAGCATTTTTTATGCAGGCCTGTGCAGAGGAGCAGTGGGCGGATATGTATTCATGTAACATCAGTATCGTGATATGAGACTGGACGTCAGCTGGGGTTCACTTAGGATAGAAATGTAGGTGTTTGGCTAATAATGATTTCATTATTAGTTCATTAGAAAACATTAGCTGATGCAATAATGAATGGTTTGTCAGTGGGAAGAGAACGAATGCCCGTCACAGTTTCCTGGAGCTGAAGGTGGTGCTTTATTTGTTCGACTGACATTGAAACAATTGGCTCATGTGTGAGAAAATGAGCAGAAGTGATGAAGACAAAGGGGTCAAATCCTCACTTTGGCATCTAAATGTGTCAAAGAAGCAGCTGATTCATTTTCTAATCATTGATAGAGCGTGTTGGTAATTAATGAAAAATCAGCTGAGTTGTGGCAGCATCTCAGTTCAGAATTTCAGGCTGTTGCACAAATAATCATATTTCCACGCCTCTGCGCCGGCATTGGGGTTGTCTTCCCGTCTCATTCTCGTGAACACCTGGAGAGAAATCATTTTTAGATTTTGGCACAAATTGGACTGGAGGATGAACTGTCTCCAATTTGTTGGTCAGATTTCAAAGGTCAAGGTCACTGTGACCTCACAAATCGTGGTTTTGGCAATAAATCAGGAATTCATTGACTTATTATGACGAAATTTCACACAAATGTCCAATTAGATATCATGATGACGTGACAACATTTTTTTTTTACCTGAAAGGTCAAAGGTCAACCTCACTGTTACACAAAAACACTTTGCCGTTATCCAGTGTCATGACTTAGGAACAGAAGGAGAGGATAGTTCACATTTAATTGGCTACTGAATTGCTAATTTTACTATCTTTAAACTACAGTGATTGTGGAAATGTGTTTTATATGAAGTATCCACATTTTAGAATGTCTTTGCAGCAACATCCACATTTGAAGCATCGTGGCCTCAACTTTGTGTTCTGTCAGAATCAGTTTTACTGACGACACGTGAACACAAACAAGGAGTGAGACTCCTTTTGCTTCTCTCTTCTCGTTCTCTCTTCGATAAATATGTTATATGAGTCTAAACGGTCATAAATTGCAACTTGACTGGCCGGCAGATGTCTACAACCACGAAGAGATGATTCTATTTTACATTACACTAAATATGGATGCATAATTGTTATAATCTGATATTCTGTCACGCTTCAGTCGATGATTTTATGCCTTAAAGTTTTTTAAGCCATGTGTCATTTTGTCACGTTTCACGGAGTTTGTCGTGATTAAATGATCGTAGTAACAGGTTATGCTGACATACAAGTAAGAACAGTGGCACATATAAAATACTTACATATCTATGCACATTGAAAGTTATTAGTAGCTGCAATAGTTCCCCCTTTGTTATGTTGCAATTACATCCCTGTAATGTGATGCCGTCGTAGTGAGAGTTAGCATTATAACAAGTGCTTATACGTAAATAAGACAAATAGAAATCTCTTTCCTTTTAATGTAATCCAGAGAATTAGATAGCCGACAAATAAACATCATTATATTGATGCAAAAGGTGTTGCTCGCAATTGTTGATGCACTTAGACTATTTTCTAATTAGAGGTAATAGTCTCTAATTAGACAATTAAATATCTACTTAGATATCAGAGATACCGCTGCAGCAGTAGTGTTACAGAATAACCATGACAAGATCCCATTTTAGCATGACTCTAATCTGAGACAAGAGAAATGCACTGCATCGTTTGTTTTACTGTTATGTGCAACAAAGAAAAGCATCAAACGCAAGAACCAAAAGGTATTATTTTTTGATTGTTAAAAAAAAACCTGACAATTTTCTGCTAATCATTGCAGCTGTGCCAAACAACCAAATTATTACAAAAATTAGATTTTACCGAAAGCTCGGACATATTTGGCAGCGATGCAGAAGTCTGAAAAACAAATGTGAGCATTTTAAATCAGTTGAATTGAACTGAATGCTGAGGATGTTGTCATTGTGCAGTGTTTTAATCCTCACACTGAGGAAGCTTTCTATATCCACTATGCATCCTGTATGACATGAATATGGCACAGGCCTCCATTTATATTCCTTGTTAGGTCAATGTTGGTGACAGATTGCTGAGGATTTAACTATAAAATCCATTCTGGCACGAAATGACAAGTATGGATTTTGTCTTTCATCACTTCAAAATTTTAGCCACACAAAGTAGGCATTGCTTAAGACACAATTACACAACCAGATGACAAATAACTCTTTCAATGTGCATATCGATGTGCGAGTATTGGTTTAAGACAGACTTTACGAAACTAAATCTCTCCTTAAGGATCTCTCTGCAGCCGTGTTGTTTGTTTCTCTGGAGGTACGTGATAATCTTGGATTTGACAGCGACAGATTCATCTACTGTGCTTCATACTGTGCGGTGATGAGGTGAAAACAAAAGAGTGATAAATGAGCAAACACACTTAAAATCCCGGGGATTCTCTGACAGCCAGAAAGTGCTTATGGTGCACAAAGGCTGGGTGTGCTTTTAACTCGGAGAGCGTGTGCTTAGGGCAGGATTACGATCCTGATAAATATGTGAGGAAACTTATCAATGTTTAATCAGCCTTCCTGCAGTCTTTAGAGGAGACTCAATTCGTTAGGTGAAAGAAAATCAAATGACTTCTCACGCAAAACCTTCTCGCAAACTGTCTACCACGTGCAAATTTTGATGCACATATGGAATAGGATGGTATCCAGGAGGGTTTGTAAGCCTGTTTTTGGTTTCTAAAGGATATAAATCTATATTTTTTGTGCTAGTATTACAGACGTTTATTGAGTTTGGTCTTCTAGCAGAGGATTAGATGTGTCTGTATGCTATTGATGGCTCTCATCACAAATACACTAAACATATATATAAATAAAATAAAAACTTGCTCCCATTTTCTTTATCTACATTAAGCCGACGACATGCAGCACAAACACTGGTGCTGCCGGGACTGTTGAACATGCAGTGCAGGTCCTGACGCTCTGAACTCAGCTCTGATCATCGCCTGTGTTTGCCGCCTGCAACGAGCGAATGATTGACAGAGGGCGACACCTTCATTCCCCAGAGTCACGCATCGACCAGACAAACATACAGGCTCTAAAACCCCATAAGTGGCTTTGACTGCAGCGTGTGGGCTTCAGCTCCACTGGGAGCTGCAGAGGTCAACGGTCTGAAACCGTCTCAGAGTCGCGGAGGCTGCTGTAGTGTGGTTTTAATCCTTAAATATTATCTGCAGCGACGGGAAAAATTCTTGCCTCTGCTGTTATTAAAAAAGAAAAAAAAGGAGAAGTTATTTCAGCCAATAAAGCTTCCGATGTGCAGTTGGGAGTCTAATCTTTGTGTCTCGCCCTCGTCTCTTGATTGCACTCCCCCCCCCCTCCTCCCCACCTCTCTCTATCGCAGACACACACCGACACACACATTCATTCATCCATTAGGAACATAACACTACAAGCCTGTTTTGTCACTTTGTGCTTCATAGTGATCTACCCTCAGGCACTGATAGCTCTCTGACCAAAAGAGGGGGGGGGAAGGTTACACACTCTCTCTTTCTAGCTCTCTGTTGATTTTATGGCCTCCACCTCTAACAGTGTGAATCTTTGTAACTGATGTGGTTTTACATCAGTTTCCAGCAGGGTTCCCACTGCAGGGAGTCAATCACTTTTTTTTCTTTTTCTTTTTTTTTTTTTAAATATCAAAATTTATTCCTTAAATTTTTAAGGAGGCAAAACCGCACAGGATTTGTTTTTGCAAACTCCTGCTTTTAACCTCCCGAAGCTCAGCGGAATCTGCTGCTCACAAACCCATGCTGCGAAGCCGAACACCGTTTACGCCCACATAGATTTATTTTATATTATACGGGAGATTCAAAGCTATTTGGAGATGGCAAATATGACAGGCTGAAATGTGGGAATGTGGATAAAATGATGCATCTCGAGTGTTTACTTTCACTGAATGCAGCTAGAAATGGAAAAAAAAAAAAAAGTCCTCTGTTAGGATATTGCAGTCAGTCTAAACATGATACAGCTTTCAGTGGAGCATTTGGAGAAGTTGATCGAGGCAGTTTGGATAAAGGTGTTTTTTTTTTGTTTTTTTTTTTAATCAAAGTTCAAGAGAATCGCTGTTGGCGACTTTTCTGCTGCACACCATTAAATCTGTTGCATATATTCATTGTTTTGGAATGTAAACACACTGTAAATGCATTTTCCTGGATGCGAATGGTCGTGCGTATGTACGTTGATGCCTGTGTGTGTGTGTGTGTAATTTATTTCACTCCAGGCCCTCTGCTCACACACTCTCACTTAGAGATTGCCGCTCCTCCAAGTAGGCCGAGCGTTGGCCCGGGGCTGGATTTTGGTTGCAGGCAGAGAGCATGGTGGTGCAAAACAGGGGGACTGGGTGTGTGGCTTTGTCAAGGGCCATCAGTGTCCTTGCTCTACTTAGTCTGCATCTACACTTAAGGGTGTGTGTGTGTGTGTGTGTGTGTGCGTGAGACAGAGAGAGAGAGAGAGTTGCAAGCGAAAGAACATGCTGCCATAAGGGTTTTGGATGGACATATTGTGTGTACGTGTGTGTGCGTATGTGATAAAAAATGGAAATGTTCTCGTTCTGTTGTGTCTTTTGTGCACTCTGCTCAGTGTGTGTGTGTGTGTGTGTGTGTGTATCACGGTGGACCTGAGGCCTTTATTACAGTCTTGTTGGTTCAGTGGATTTAAAGAAGGCAGGGGTTTCTCTTCCCTTTCTTAGTTGCGTGTGTGTGTGTGTGTGTGTGTGTGTGTGTGTAGGAGTCTTTGAATGCATGTTGGACATTTGTTGAGGACTGACCTAAATCTGTCTGCCATCATTACCTAACAAGAAGATGGAGAGAAAAGCGAGTCACAAATAAACACACGAGCACACATATGCTTGTGTGCACACTGACACACACTCCAGAGACCGTAATGTTAGATACCGAGTCCTCACCGCAGCAGCAGATTGGAATGTTAAACAAGGGGGAATAAAAAGAAAAAAACAAAAACAAGAAATGCAACGCCGTGCGTGTTGTCGCTCAGCCTCCATCCTTCCCTTCTGTCCAGGGCCAAGAGTTCAGTCTATATTAAGGAGTCATATTACTGTTGTTCTCCTGTCGCTCCTCTGCCTGCGTCCCGTATGTTCCCTCGTAAACCTCCAGCCTGCGATCACCTGCGCCTTCGCTCAGCTGTTTACCTCGTCACGCCTGCTGGGGAAGAGATCGTCTCTGCGACATCATTTATTTAGGATTACTGAAAAGTGGCCTAAGCTGAGCCCCAGCCCTCTGCCAGCGTGTGTGTGTGTGTGTGTGTGTGTGTGTGTGTGTGTGTGAGGATAGAAAGATTAAGACTCTTTTATGGGTCAGTGGCCAGTATTGCTGCTGGCTAATTACGGACTTACAACACGAAGTCTCACGTGTGTGCTTTCACTGACAGACACACACACACACACACACACATCCAGCACATCTCCTCGCTTTTTCCCTCCTGCTCCCTGAGACTGCACTGTGCTATCACCATGGTAACAGCAGATTGAGGGACTTTTCGCTGCACCGATTGTTCAATTGTTACCTCTATTTTCCTCCCTCTCTGTCTGTCTCTTTATTATTCTGTCTCTCCCCACCCTGCTGTGTTTTCTCACGTGCACTCTTTCATTGTCAGCGTGGGTTATTGACCATCCAACACACACACAATCACACACACACACCTACACACACAAAGAGAAGATGGTGCAGCATCAGTCTCACACTTGCACTTGCTTCCTTCCACAGGCTCTCCTAACGCGGTTGGTGGTCCAAACTCTTCCTAGCCCAGCATGGCTGCGTCACTGTGGTTCGTGGGGGTGTGTGCACTCGCCCTGGCTCACGTTGCCCCCTCTGGCCAAGGTAAGTGTCATGACACCGAGGCGGTATCACGTTGAGGTGTTGATCCTGACAGCAGAGTTTGGCTGGATGGATCCCACAAAAACAAAAACAAAAAAAGAAAAAAAAAAGCCATAAATGATGCCAGTAGATTTGTAATGTAATGCATACAAAAAAAGATGCATTTGAACACGTCTAAAGTTTGCAGGAGGAGCATTTGAGAAGTGGCCTGTAGCTCGTAGTCAGTAAACAATCAGTCATTCAGCACCATGGACAGTTACAGCACACCAGCAGCATCCTAATCACACCGTGGGTTTTAAGGATGGCTTTAATCCTGATGCAGCAAACACCTTGTCATGTGTACACGATACTCAAGCCGATGTGAACAACCGGATTAAGGTAATGGTAATGGGATTTTCTCCAATAACCCTGCTTTGCGCAGATTTACATGGCTGTCTGGTGAGTGCGTATGTAAAATATTCAGCCCTCAAAGGAAAGCGTAATAAAAATAATAATAAAAAAAAAAAAACACCCCATACTTGTCAGATTGTGTTTACCGAGCACCTGACAGTCAGCAGTGTAAGCGTTATCCTCCCCGCTGACTTAAAACACAAGACATTGTGATGTGCCCACGCATCGCATCACATCATATCGCATGTAGCGCGGTGTCACCGTGGAGGTGCGATGTGATTTATGTCAACAGTCGCACTCTGCATCTGGGAATCCTTCCAGTGTAAGCTTTCACACGTGAATGTTTTAATGATTGAATCTGTTGGGTGTTCGCAGTTCCAAAGCACGTTTCATGTTCATGTGTTAAATGTGCTATGTGCTTACATACAGGTATGATTTAAGTGAGAGGTGTTTACATGACATTTTACTGGGATATCATTAGTGGGCATCGATAGACTTGTTCATGGTATTGAACAGCCAACCCCTTAGAAAAGGCATAACGAGAAACTCATTGGATTTCACATGTTAAGGTCTCTGCACTTGTTTGTATAACAGTATTTTTTTTAATTTTATTTTTTGTGGTTATGGAGAGATTGTTCCAAAGCCTGAAAAATTAACCCAGATAACGTCATCTGGATGTTAGTCGATCCATCGCTGGTCCCGCATGAAATGACTCAACGGCAAATGGATGGACAGAGATGAAATTTTGTACAGACCCAATAATCCTACTTTAGTCATCCCCTGACTTTTCCTCGAGCAAGAACCATGAGGTTGACATTTATGGCTTTTAGTAAAATGTCGCGCTCGCTATGGGATGTGCTGCCATGAAATCTGGCACAGGTGCTCTATCAAGGACTTTGACTGTATCAGTGGTGTCCAGAGGATGAGTCATAGTAACTATAGTGGTCTTATGACTTTAAGATAACATAAGATAGACTTTATTGATTCATGTTACGGCAACTAGATACAAACGAGGTATTGAAGAAGCAAGACAATAAATACAGAAGTACAATCAGGCTAAAAATAAAGATAAAATAAACTATGTACATCTTGCACATGTGCAGACGAGGCATGATAAATAATGGATAATGCACCAAATTGTAGACTTGTACATACATTTATTCACATTCATACAAAGTAGTAGTGCTACAAATCTGTTACTGCATTAAAAAAGTTATCAAGAGGAAAACCCAGTGTTAACATGGTGTTGACGCACATAAAGAGCTGTAAGGAAACACTGTTATATTTTGTCGCTAATGTAGAAGAGCCATAAAGAGAAAAAACTGTGTTACATTTTGTCGTTGAGCTTTATGGAGACACTGTTCCATGATGTTTTTACACGAGAAAACAGTGTTACGTGACTGAACTTTACCTCCAGAACCGACAAGAGGTTCACAACAATCAGGTGGCTGTGAAATGTTTTGAATATGTTCGCTTGGTGGCATTTGTCCTAAAGTACCACTCAGCGTGGCTTTAGATTCTTGGTCTTGTTTTATTCTGTCTGTTTTTGAGTGCCTCTAATCACAGCTTTCAGTACTTGCCTCCAAGACATAAAGGCGACTAAATTAATTACAACAAATAACTAATAAGAAATTTTCCAAACAAATCAACTGAATTCTGAAGCTCATTTGCTGCCTGAGGACAAAATGAAAGCTAATTAAAACATGTATTTTCTCTTTCTGCCTCTTCTCCCACTCTCGTCCTTTCATCCACCGTCTCGTGTGCAGCTATGTCCCGGGCCGCCATGCCGTTCGGGCTGCTGCGCAGGGAGCTTGCGTGCGAGGGTTACCCCATAGAGCTGCGCTGCCCAGGAAGTGACGTGGTGATGGTGGAAACGGCCAATTACGGACGCACCGATGACAAGATCTGTGACGCAGACCCCTTCCAGATGGAGAACACACAGTGTTACCTCCCTGACGCACTCAAGATTATGTCCCAGAGGTGCGTACGGGCAAAGCCGTGTCATGTCTTGGGCTATTTGAATAGGTGCAAGTGTTTCGTAAACCGATCGATGAGGGCACCTAGCGTGTTGTGTGTACTACACGTGCTGTACGACATGCATGTTGGCTCAGGAGGTAACGTTAGACAAAGCCGATGCTCGTGCCACGTGTACGTGCAAGTGCAGCAATCTCGCACAGCTGAACCTGAGTGCCCGGCTGCACCATTAGCTGTGTACTCAGCAGTGTTTTCCTAGAAGAACTGATCAATATTCAGCAAGAGAGAGTAGACAAATGGAGTGTCCTTTGCTTCCCCTTTCCTGTCTGTTAATCACTCTCCTTCTTTTCTTTTGTTTTCTCACTCCATCATCCCTTTGATTGATTTATCCATCCATCCATCCATCCATCCATCCATCCATCCATCCATCCATCCATCCATCCATCCATCCATCCATCCATCCATCTGTTGGTCCGTCCTTCCTGTCCCCTGTCCTGCAGGTGTAACAACAGGACTCAGTGTGTGGTGGTCGCAGGGGTCGACGTCTTCCCAGACCCCTGTCCAGGAACATACAAGTACTTGGAGATCCAGTATGAGTGTGTCCCTTACAGTGAGTATGCATATGTATATATACACAAATACATATGTAAACATGCAAATACTGCACAAATGCACACAAACATGATTGCACAAAGATTTAACCTATTTTTGTCAAGATTCATTTTAGCTTTAAGGTGTTTTTTTTTTTCTGCTCTGATGTTGAATAATCCCTGAGAGATTGATGGATAGAAAAGAGTGTTTTTTTTTTCTCAGGGAGTGTGTGTGTATGTGTGTGTTTTTTGAATTACAAGAAAAACATATAAATAAGAAAGTTGGATGGAGGAAGCACAGAAAGAAAGAAAAAGGCAAAACTGTAGGGCATTTTTTTTTTTTTTTTGCAAAACTGTATGTCTTTTGTATGTGTGTGCGTGACTGTGTGTGTGCGCGTGCGGGAGTGTGAACTTTTGCGATGCTGCGTGTGTGTGTTTTCTTTTCCAGATTCACGCCACAGGAGTTGCTCTCTTTTCTCCACAGGAGCCTGATTGAGGAAAGGAGAGATCGTGGGGGGAAAGGAGGGAGGAAGGGAGGGAAAAGGGGTGAGGACGAAAAAAAAAATGGAGGGTGGGAGGAGGAGGATGAAGCTGGGGAGGGGAGGAGAGGAGGGAAGAGGAGTTTGTTGGGTCTCTTTTGTGCTTCTTCTTCCTGAACAATAATGTTTGTGGTGAGAATGAGTTCCAAAGTCTTTATCTGTGCAATTCTTTCTTTCTTTCTTTCTTTCTTTCTTTCTTTCTTTCTTTCTTTCTTTCTTTCTTTCTTTCTTTTTTCTTTCTTGCTTTCTTTCTTGCTTTCTTTCTTTCTCTCTTGGCTGCTTTTCCTCTTCCTTTCCTCCGCTCTTGCTTTTGCTTTCTTGCTTCTCTTCACTCCCCTTCTTTCACCCTCTGACTTTTCTTTCTTTCTCTCCCTCTTTTTTTTCCTATGCTTGAGTAGAAGTGGACCAAAAAGGTAAAGACAATACATTGTAGCATCTTGATCTCTCCTTACTCCCGACTCCCCCCCTTTCTCTTTTCTCTCCTCCTCTTTCTCTCTCCTACCATCTCTCTCTTCCTCCTACCCTAGGACGTTGTTTCGTAGTCATGCTGGATGTTGCCCCCTTTCCCCTTTTTTCATTTCCTACTTTCTTTTTTTCCCCATTTTATCCATTTCTTGTTGTATAGAAAGCCGTCTTTTTATCCAATTTTATCCAGGTTCTGCACCTAGTCTCTCTTCTTCTTTTTCTATCTATCTTTGTCTCTCTCTCTCTCTCGTTCTTTCTCTCTTCGGTTTCTCGCTCCTGGTCGATCTTTCTGTCTCTTATTTCTCTCCCTCAGTCTGTCTGTGCACACAAACATAAACACAACAGCTCACACAAACACAAACACAATTTTCCTTTCTGCTCTGTTTCCTTTATACACACAAGCACTCTTTCTTTCTTTCTTTCTTTCTTTCTTTCTTTCTTTCTTTCTTTCTTTCTTTCTTTCTTTCTTTCTTTCTTTCTGTCGTTCTTTTTTTCTTTCTGTCTGTCTGTCTGTCTTTCTTTCTTTCCTTCATTCTTTCCTTCTTTCTTTCTTCCACTCTCCCTTCCCTTCTTCCTTCCTTCCTTCCTTCCTTCCTTCCTTCCTTCCTTCCTTCCTTCTTGTCCAGTCATCCTCTTCATGCTTATTTTCCCTTTTCTTCCCTTATAGGAAGAGCCCCTTATTTATCTTCATAGGAAAAATAAGACGAAATGTGTGTGATTGTGTATCCGCCTGGATGTGTGCTTACCAAGCACTGCCTATGTATGTGTGTGTGCGCGAGAGTGTGTGCGAGTGTGTGAGAGTGTGTGTGTGTGCATGCCTATTTGCATGCCAGTGTGAGACTGTACAGTATACATATGTGTCCATACAGTTATTGACATGTGGGTGGACCAATCGTTGTGCTCGGCGTAAACTAACCTGCCCTCTCATTCACTTCAAGGCAAAATTTAGCCCCGCCTTCTGCGTCCCTGACTCTACCTCACACTCTTTTTCACTCTTTTTGCACTAACCCACACACACACATTCACACAAACATGCCACACAAAGCACATAAAATACACTCACACACCTTTCATTGCAGTGTCCCTGTTGTATTACTCACCTCACACACACTAACAGTGTGTGATTTTCAACACGTTTACATCTCTTCTGTTGCTTGCCTCTCGAGATCAGCACAGGTGTTTTAAATCCCTCTCTCTCTCTCTCTCTCTCTCTTTCTCTCTTCATTCTTTTTTTCTTAATCTCGCCGCATCGACTGCATCTAATTCGATCCATTTTTCATGCATTGATCCATTCTCTCCTCCACATCTGCCTCCGCTTTCTTGCCATTCTCTGCTCACTTCCCTCTTCTTCCTGCTCTTTTCCTCCCTCTTCCTCACATCCTGCTCTTCTACTCCCCCTTCCTAACTCCCATCCTCCAGTTTTCGTGTGTCCTGGCTCGCTGCTCAGCATCCAGCCGGCCTCCTCGCTCCTGGAGGCGGAGCATCAGTCGGGGGCTTGGTGCAAAGACCCCCTACAAGCTGGTGACAGACTGTACGTCATGCCGTGGACGCCGTACAGAACAGAGGTGCTGTATGAGTATGCCTCTTGGGACGACTACCGGCAAAACAGAGTCACCACCACCTATAAGTGAGTGTCTTGTGCACCGTGTGTATTGTTAAAAACAGATGATCAACTGCTATGTCATATTGGAGCATTCAGGACTGTTGATTATCTGCTCTGCAAACTTGTAAGTCACAGTTTTTTGGAAATCTGTAGATTAACAGGTTAATCGGTCCATCAAAAAAATCAATCAAGTATTCTGCAATAAAAATAACTGCTGCGTGTGAGCCTTGGGGGATAATTTCACATTCAGTTGAATCAATTTAAAATGGAAACAGAGCACTTATTTTCTCATCGAGAGATTAAAGTCCATTAAAACTTGGTTTCAGATGTTCTGTATCTGTAATCTATGGCTAAATAAGCTGAGGTAAATAGCGTTAAATCATATTAAACACAATATTTGATGCTATTTATGGATGGGAATTACTATGAAGCACTCAATTCTCAGCTCTCAATGTAGTGGTTTGCATGGTTAGCTGCAGAGTTGACAACCAGTCTGGTTTCAAATAAATTCACAATCTATGCATATAGCTGCTTTAAAGCTTGTTTTCTGCTCCCAGTGGTCGATAGACAGGTGCTGGGGAATGAAAATGTATCATGAAAAAGCTCGTAGTGCTACCATTTTGTAACCACAAGTGTCCCCAAAATAAGCCAAAATCCTAATTACTTTTTCCAGCTGTGTCCTGTCCACTTCAATCCAATGAGACGAGTACAGATAAAAGATAAATAGAGGAACCTCTAATTAATTTCGGCACATTTTTTTATGTAAATGAAGAAAACCCATGATTAGTAATACAAAGCCATTGAAAAAACAGGCTTCCAGGGTGTAGGAATCCTCATATATGATATGTAAATGTACACATGGGCTACGTTTTTTCTCTCATTCCCTGTGTTAGGTTGCCCAGCCGAGTGGATGGTACAGGCTTTGTGGTGTATGACGGCGCCGTATTTTATAACAAGGAGCGAACGCGCAACCTGGTCAAGTACGACCTGCGGACTCGCATCAAGAGCGGCGAGGCAGTGGTGGTCAATGCCAACTACCATGACACTTCGCCTTACCGCTGGGGAGGGAAGTCGGACATCGATCTGGCCGTGGACGAGAACGGCCTTTGGGTTATCTATTCCACCGAGGCCAATAATGGACGCATTGTGGTCAGCCAGGTAGGAGGAAAGAATGTAGATCAATGGCTGGAGTTTAGATGGATGGAAGGAAGGAAGGAAGGAAGGAAGGAGGGCTTTAGACAGTTTTCTCATCTTGCCTGTTTTGCAGGTGAACCCCTACACTCTGCGATTTGAAGGCACGTGGGCCACCGGCTTTGACAAACGTGGGGCGAGCAACGCCTTCATGGCCTGCGGTGTGCTGTACGCCGTGCGCTCCGTCTTTCAGGACGACGAGGGACAGGCGGATGGCCGAGCCGGCAGCAACATGGTGGTTTACGCCTACGACACCAGCCGCGGACAGGAGCTGCCTGTACAGATCCCCTTCCCCAATCCCTACCAGTACATCTCCTCCATAGACTACAACCCCAGAGACAACCAGCTGTACGTGTGGAACAACTACTACGTGCTGAGATACCCGTTACAATTCACTCCGCCACCACCTACTAAAGGTCTGTTGAATGTGAGCACTTGAACACGAGAACGACATAGATGTTTAATCCAGAGAGTCAACTTGTGTTTTTGTCCCTGCAGGGCCCCTGTCCTCCCTGATGACGACGGTTCGTTCCTACACGGCGACGGTGGCCTTGACCCCGGTGCGACCCTCGGCCTCACACCCCATCGGCGTCATCAACAGAGGGCCCTTTGACCAGCGGCCCATCACAGCCATGGTCCCTTTAACCCCTCGCCCTCCTCTGCGGGTCCCCTTGGCCCCCGGGGGTCCCGGTCAGGTGGGCGGATGTGAGAGCCGGGTGGCGCGAGGGGTGCAGTGGCCCCCCACCCTGAAGGGAGAGACGGTGGAGAGGCCGTGTCCTAAAGGCTCTCTGGGTAGGTGTGGCATGTGTGCAGATGTGAGCATGCCAATGTGTGTGTCTGTGTGTGGTATTTGCATGTGTGTGTGTGTGTATCTCGTTTCCCTTTGAAATGTAGTCGGATGTCCTCTCTTTGAACTTGCCTTCAGATGAGACAGAAAAAGAGAAGCGAGGGGTTACGGTGCGTAGAGAAGCTTGGGTTCGGCGACTCTTCCACTCGCTGTGCAGCTGTCTCCCTCTGAGGGGAAGCTGTGATGCAGATTATGTAGAAAAGCCTGTGGTGCGTTTTGCCTCTCGCTAATCGCGTTGAATAGTTTGGACATGGGGTTTAGCACAGAGGTGATGATTACACCGGGGAGAAGTCTTATCTTAAATCATGTTTATAACTGAAATCCAGTGTGGCTTTTGTCTCATCCTTTAACTCATCTGCAGAACCAGTGTGTAACAGATGGGTTGGTCCTGATTTCATTAAATGTCTTGTAAACAGAAGTGAATTTTAATGAACTTTTAAATGTGTGCAACAGTTAAGAAGATCAGATAAAGGCCAACTCACAGAGGATAATTAGCTGCTGTTATACAACGCTGTTGAGCCTGTTTTAGCTCAAAGTTTTGTTTTAATGGTAATTATTACAAGGTTTAGTCTCAGCCTAGTGAATGTTACCTGATTTGCACAAAAAAAAAACTGTTTGTGACATTTGTTGAAGGCACTCAAACAAGCTAATTAGGCTAAAATAGACGAGTGAACAAAACACGATACGATACAATAAGCTCTTATTAATTCTACAGTTTGGAAATTTGCAGTATTACAGCTACAAAGGACAATTTGAATAAACAAAACATACAAACAATGTCAAAATAAAAGTGGTATTGCAATTTTATTTGTAGAAATACTAATAGAGATGGATTTGTTCATAAGCACATTCTTGTACATGTAGAAAATGTTATATTGCACAGAGTTTTTAAATGTACAAAATATTCGTAATGCAACATGTGCCCAAAAGCAAAACCAAACATACAATTAGAATCGAACCGTTAAATGTTTCAGGGCTGCATGTGAGGCTAAAACAAGCAGGGGTAAATTAATACAATACACCGGCTGTTCTTTCTCTTTCTGACTTTCTGCGTCACCCTTTTCTGTCTCGGCAGGTATCGCCTCCTATCAATGCATGTCGTCTCCGGTGGGATGGAACTCCAGAGGGCCTGACCTTTCCAACTGCACCTCTCCCTGGGTCAGCCAAATTGCACAGAAGGTAAGTCACTCACACACACACACCCACGCACACAATCGCAAATATACAAACACGCACACACACACACACGCTGTGCAAATGCCCTAAAGCCAGTCAGCAAGCAGCTCTCTCTTAAATGTCAAAATATTTGACATTATAAACACCCCCGCCTCACTTCAGATTAAGAGCGGAGAGAATGCGGCCAACATCGCCGGGGAGCTGGTCAACTTGACCCGGGGGCGGATCTATGCCGGTGATGTCAGCATGTCCGTCAAGCTAATTGAACAGCTGCTGGACATCCTGGACTCTCAGCTTCAGGCCTTGAGACCCGCCAATAAAGAGCCGGCAGCGCGCAATTACAACAAGGTAAATTGTGCCTGTTGTCAGTGTGAATGTGTACTTGACCTTTCCTGGAAAATGGAAGCGGAAATGTCAGTGATGACGATTCTAACGGTGGATGTTTTGATGTTTTTTTCTTCTTTTTAGCTGCAGAAGAGAGAGCGCACGTGCAAAAACTATGTTCAGGTAAGACAGACACATAGATGGATGGCTGGATAGATGGATGGATGGATGGATGGATGTGGAAATAAAACTGTCTCTCCCTCTTTTCCAGGCGGTGGTTCAGACGGTGGACAACCTGCTGGGTCCTGAGGCTCTGGTGTCCTGGGCTGACATGAGCAGTGTTGAACAGTCGCGCTCTGCATCTTTACTATTAGACGCAGTAGAAAAAGGAGCGTTTCTGTTGGCTAACAATCTCTACGAAGGTCGCTTCAGTGACAGGGCACCAAATGTTGGTACGTGGCCTTTCTTTTTCTCAGCAGGCATTTTGAGCAAATTGCCAGCTCAGCCAGACTTTTGTTTACCTCTGTTCCTGTTAATGGACAGATCTGGAGGTGTATGTACTAAACACAGAAGCAGACATACAGGACTTGACGTTTCCTCACTCCTACGACAGCGACAGCATCCTACAGATATCAGCCCTGGCCCTGCAACAGTACAGCAACAATGGTCTGTGGTGCACAACAAATCTCTGTACATCTTATTAGTAAACCATGCGTAGATCTAGTGGTTTTTGGAAGTAATATTTGCAAAGCAACATCAATTATGATGAAAATGTCTAACAATGTCTGAATATTTTCTCCCTTCTTCACTAAGTCATGCATCCCTCTGGGGTTTCCCCTGCAGGCCAAGTGAAGCTGGTCCTTTCACTCTATAAGAACCTGGGCTCCTTCCTGACCACCCAGAACTCGACCTTGCGGCTGGGACTGGGCCTCGGTCAGGGGTCAGAGGTCAGACGAAGGAGCCTGGTGGTCAACTCTCACGTCATCTCCGCCTCTGTGCACAGAGGGTCCAACAGAGTGTATCTCACTGAGCCAGTGATCTTCACTCTCAGGCACCTGCAGGTCTGTTCTCAAGGCCGTTCTGCTCCAGATGAACATGGAGAATGAGCAAATTCCTAACATTGCGCATAACTTGGCTCATATTTCTTCCTCCACAGCTGGAGAACCACTTTGGTCCCAATTGTTCTTTCTGGAATGCATCGGGGGTTTCTGGGAGTGGCAGGTGGTCCACACAGGGCTGCCGCCTGTTACACACAAACAACACACACACTACTTGCGCCTGCAACCATCTGTCCAGCTACGCTGTTCTCATGACGTACCAGCAACCCGCTGTAAGTAACACGCAGCACACATCAGTGCATAGCGGCGTGTAATTCAGCTTTGGCTAATTCTGCCACACTGGGATTCATAAGCCTGTAGCCTTGAATCTGCTTTCTGTAACAGTCACTGGCTGCAATTTTGAGCTTTAAATATATTCGTTTGGACAAATATTGAGGAAATACTTTATATTTATGTGTTGTATTGCTGCTGCAGTTTTACACAGCCAGGTGCCGACTTAACTTCATAAAACCAGTCCTGTCCTCGATCTCCACCCTTATGAACCCATGTAATGTGTTACAGTTAGACTTCATCAAAATGTTGTTTAGAAATCAAGTGCAGAATGGGGGATAATTATGGTTTGTAGCTGTAAGAGACGGAGTGATAATTGTTTGTCCTGCCATGAAATTCAATTAAGTGTTCTCTCTGAGATGTTCTCTTTGTTGGGTGTGATTTCACTCATTTAAATAGATGTTATGCAACACTCAGGGATACACACACACAGCAACACATCCACATATGCTCACAAACCTGCACGCTTCTGCTTTCACACACACGCTGTTTATGATCAACTAAATAATTATCCTGCACTTTCTTTCCCTGTCAGTTCGGGGGCGGCGTGGAAGAGCTCCTGGTCTATGTGGTTTCTTGGGTCGGCATCTCCGTGGCCGTGTTGTGTTTGTCCACCTGCCTTACCACCCTGTGCTGCCAGGGGGCACCGTGGCACACCGACCACAGCACCATCCACTGCAACCTGTGGGCCAACCTGCTGGTCACTGAGCTTGTCTTCCTCGTCGGTGCCAACAAGACCCAGTACACTGTTAGTATTCTGACAGAATATTACAGCATTTTAAAGCGATTAATAGGATTTATATGATTGTTTTGACGTGCTATGCTGATCTAAACATCTTGACATAATAATTATATATACGTTTTTTTAGTTATTCTCATTTTTCTGCTCCCATTTGCAGGTCCTGTGCTCCATCACCGCCGGCCTGCTGCACTTTTCTCTGCTCTCGGTGTTTTGCTGGTTGTTTCTGGAGGGGGTGGAGCTGTACCTGCTGCAGCGGGAGGTGTTCGAAGGACGCAACTCCAGGAGGAAGTACTTCTACCTGTGTGGATACTCTGTTCCTGGCCTGGTGGTGGCCGTGTCCGCAGCCATCGACTTCAGAGGCTACGGCTCCAAAACGGCGTAAGTTGACTAACGCGTGCACATTTTTGGGAACCGTTGCTTTTTCCTGCAGCTCTTTATTCCTGCGTCAGCTCCCAGAGTTTACTTAGGAGGATCTTATTTTCATATGATTTGTTTGTGTGTCTCTTTTTGTGTGTAGATGTTGGTTACGCGCTGACAATTACTTCATCTGGAGTTTCCTCGGACCTGTAGCTGTCATCATTACGGTGGGAGTTCATGGCCTCGTACAGATATCAGATTTTCATTGTGTTTCCTTTTGAAACACGTAATAACATCATGTTCACTTTTTATAATTGAATATGTGTTTGACTGTGTCTGACATTCCTTTTCGGCCTCAGCTGAACCTGGTTGTTTTGGTGATGACCTTACATAAGATGCACAGCACGGCAGCTTTGAAGCCCGACTCCAGTCGCCATGACAACCTGAGGTTAGTAATAATGTTTCATGCTGTGCAGTCGTGGGCGATTACCTGCCATTGAGGAAAAAGTGCCTGGATTGATAAAAAGAATGAGAAAAAAAAAAGAATGATCCTTACACTGTAAAATTAATAAATGAATACTTTTTTCAGCAGCTGAAGCACCAAAAAAATACTGTACTGTCTTGCAAAAGAAAATCTCGTAAAAATACAATAATTTTCTATTATTAAAATGCATTCTCTAGGATTCATTTTACATGTGGTAGAGTGTTTTTTTTAAAAGGATTTTTAATATTTAATGAAGGATATTTACATGCACAAAAACAATAAAATTACCTGATATATAGATTATAGATAAACAAATGCATATAATGATAAAAACTGTATTGAGACAGATAAATGCTTAGAAATATGATATGATTAAAACATATTTTTAAAAACATTTTTGTTATGAAAACTTCCGCTTTCACTCATTTAACAAACAAACCTATGTAAAATAACAGAACCAATATCTCTTTTTCTGATAAGTGCCACTAATTGTACCCTTTTGTAGAAATATATTTACTTGAATCTAACAGTTCCATTGATTAAATAAAAAGGAACAGTTTGTATAATTATAAAGTTATTTTTTTTATGTCAGAAAACTTCACTTTTCTTTTTTAGAAATAGGAATTTTATAGTTATTCAAAGTTATGGGATTTTAATGTTATTTTACATAAGACAGGTAAATTAACAGTCAATTTTTATTTTTTATTTTATTTTTTTTTAACATTTCTGTGTATTTTAATAATACAAAAAATATTATGTAGAATTACAGATATTTTTTACAGTGCATGTTTTAGTTAATATATTCCAGGTACATTTTATTTGTGATAATATTGTCTTGTTTTTATTTTTTTTTTTTTAAATGTCTTTCAAATGCTATAAATATTTAAAAATGTTGTAAAAAGAAAGAAAATTATAAAAATGTATTTGTCTGCTATGGATGAAGAATCCAGTCCATTTAGAGACTTACTGTATAGCAGCAGCACTTTGAAGAGTTTCTAGTCAAGCAATTTCAGCCTTTTTAAAACCAAAATAAAATGCACTGCAGTGGCGCTGACAACAGCCTGACCTATGTAGTCTCTGCATCTATAGGAGTAGTAAAGGTCACACCTTAGAATTGCTGTATAAATGAAAAACAGAGGTTAAAAAAAAAGCTTGCACTCAACAAAAAGTCAGATAAGGTGAGTGTTAGAAATGTCCAGCAAGTTTAAATTAGTGCACCCGCATGTCACAGAGCTCTTTCAATCATTTATTTATTTTTTGCTTCTATTACACAGCTTGCCGTCAGATAGATCTGGATGCACAAACTTTGCCACAGACAGCCTCGCTCTCTTTTTCGTTCACGGTTTACCTGCCTCGTAAAATAGAGGCACAGTTGAATACTCTCTATTTTAATCACAAGGGAGGTGAAGAGTATAATTAAAAAGAACACCCTGATAGATTTAGGTACGTGAGCTATTTTTTAACTTGCGTGTCAGAAAAAATTAAATGGCATTTATCTCTCGGTGTCTGCAGGGCGTGGGCGGTGGGCTCCCTGACGCTGCTCTTCCTGCAGAGCGTCACCTGGTCGTCGGGCCTGATGTTTCTGTCCTCTCCGTCCCTCCTCCTGGCTTATCTCTTCTCCTCACTCAACACTGCCCAGGGCCTCCTCATCTCCATCCTGCACTGCACCCTCGCCAGGAAGGTCAGTGTTCATGAGTCTTTATGTAACTGCAAGACTTTAAGATTTGTGGCTAAAATGACGCTGTCTACCTGATTAAACGTCCAGGGTCAGAAGGATTATGGCCGCTGCCTGCGCCTCTCCCAGTGCTGTGCCCCTTCGTCGTCCAGCTCTCCGGACTCGGTGAAAGGCGCTGCCCTCCGATCCAACAGCCGCTACACCAGCAGCCAGAGCCGCAGAGCCACCGCCAACAGACAGGTAAAATGTAATTCAGTCTTTATGGCTTCGTCTCTCTCTGTGTCTGAGTCAGTTTTAACCACGGGTAATATTTCTGCTCCAGAGTCGCATCAGAAGGATGTGGAATGACACTGTTCGCAGACAGACTGAATCCTCTTTTATTGCTGCGGACGTTAACAACACTCCTACTCTTAATCGAGGTGAAGTGTATTATTTTGATGATCCTTTAAGTGTCAGATTTGTCCCCTCTGTGGGTGAAGACGTTTATTTTCTCCCTCTCTCTCCATCAACAGCTGCTCTGGGGAACCACTTCCTTACCAACCAAGTGTTGCAGACTCATGCTGGAGCTTCTCCTTACGACACAATGCTGGCGCAGGGATACAACCAACCCTTCACCTCCACAGGTACGTCTCTTTACAGCTGTCAGATTATTCTCCTCTGCGTGTGCTTTCCTCTGTTGGTCTTTTTATTTATCTGTACGAACAAAACCTTGCAAAGCTCTCAGGCTACACTGCACACTGAATGTATAATTACAATCTACACAGTAACTCAGAAGGTGTTGCTGATTTGTGGGTTTTCTATTCAGTAGCCCTCAACAGAAGAGGGAACATAAGACTTTTGCATACACTGTAAAAAGAAAGTCAATTTAAAAAAAAAAAAAGGGAAAATATTGCAGCCAAAGTGCAAAGACATTCTGAAATAGTAGAATACTATAATGTTTTTTTTTTTTTAAAAGGAAAAAAATGTGGAAAGTAATGGTGGATATCTGTAAAATATTATTGTTTGCTGATTTAAATATTGTAGAACAATATGATTTTACAGTCACACATTTTAAAAAGAACAAATTAATACTTTTAAAGATATATTTTTTATTATTTGTACTTTAACAAAAAAGTTCAAAAAGAAAAACCTAAAACAACAGCAAAAATCATGGTTAAACACTATTAAAACATATTTACAGTGTTGTACAGTTTGTCATTTTCTGTTTCTGTACAGTATGGATGATTACAATTAAATGTGTAAATGTTCATTTTGAATGAGAGTGCTGTGAGTTTGTTTTATTTTGACTTTTTAGTTTTTCAACTTGAAATAATTGTCTGTCTTTTCAATGTTTTTTGACGCTCTCCCTCTCTGTCTTTCTGTCTTAACGTGGACCAGTAGGAACCTTCAGAAACAAACAGAGTATGAGCTCTTCCCTCTTGTGCTCACATGAATCATTGAGCGCCACTTCCTTGTGCAATGTGGTTCAATTCATAGACTATCTGTGCAATATTTGCACCCAGTAACTAAACCATGAAGGCATAATGCACATCTCTCCATGTGGCTGCATAACCAAACATTTCATCAAGTAATATTGTTAACACTCAAATGTTCTTGGTAAAGCCACACCTTCAGCAGGCACATGAACACCAAACTCTGCTCATTCATTCATCGGTTCATTCATGTATCTCTCCAAATTACATTTTTGGTTTCTCTGTCTTTCTGTAATTGGCATCTTTTGTTTCTCCTGACAGAGGGCGTTGTGTCGCAGAGCCAAGAGTCTTGTGGTTTGGACAGCGTTTGTCTCAACGGAGGCTACACCCCCAACACCTTCACCCTGCACGGTCTGGGGACAACACCAGGGTCCCGAGCCGGAGTGGTGGGCAGCACTGACCTTCTGAGGGAGGGAGGAGTCGGGATGGGAGGTGACGACATCTCCCCAGCCCTCCTCACGCCGCACGGGGCCTCCGATCTGAGCAGCGGTGCCGGGATGCGTCGCAATCTGTCTGACGCCGCAGCGCTGGAGAAGATGATCATCTCGGAGCTGGTGCAGAGCAACCTGAGGCCCTCGGTTCCGATGCCCGTTCCCCCCGAACGCTACGGGAGCCTGGCGAGGCCGCACCACCACGACAGGGTGGCCCTCACTCACACTGCCACTTTAACTCGACACGCACAACCACCCCAAGAGGGCTGGGCTGCCACCATGCAGCCGAACACACGCCACAACGCACAAGAGGGCTGGCCGCACACGAGGCACCACACACAAGACACTGAGACACATTCCACAACACGTGGGCAAGATCACGCCACAACGCCGCGCCTACAAGACGGCTGGTCGCGTGTTGCTGGAGATTCGGAGTCCCGTGAGCTGCTTAAAGACGGGGACCGGTCGCAGCTGCAAGGCACTCTGGGCCGCCGTGGGCTCCAGGAGAGGCAGCAGGCGAGACCCCCTGATGTTCAAGCTCGGCCCTACTCCACCCTCAGCCGAACCCCTGGTACTCTGTCCCGCCACCGCAGCACAACAGAGGCCAGCGCAGCGACGGACAGAGACAGAGAGAGAGACAGGGAGAGGGAGCGATACCGGGACAGGCCTCTCCCACCTCCTCCCCCACCTCCCCCACAGGAGTCGGAGCCCCTGTACAAAGCTCTGGAGGAGCCGCTGCTGATGAAGCAGAGGGAGGCAGGCGTGGAGACGTGGAGGGGCGGCCAGGACAGGGAGAAGGACGAGACGTTTCTATTAAAGAGAGATGGAATGATAGATGAATGGAGGGGAGGAGCTGAGAGGGGGAGAGACGAGTCTTTTACCTCTCAGAAGAGAGACGGAGAGATGGATGAATGGAGGGGCGGCATGGAGAGAGGGAGGGAGGAATCTCACGTCCTGGAGAAGAGGGATGGAAGGATGGAGGTGTGGCGAGGAGCAGAGACGGAGCAGGAGGAGACTTTTATAACTCAGAAGAAAGATTTCGGGATTGACGGATGGAGAGGAGGGATGGAGAGAGAGAAAGATGAATCCTTGTTTTTGAAGGACAGAGACGGTTGGAGGGCAGGGATCGAACGAGAGAATGAGAAGCAGAAGGATCGAGCGCTGGATGTGTGGAGAGGAGGGATGGATATAGACAGGGAGGAATCGTTCCTGTTTGACAGCAAAGACGGAGGTCTAGATGGCAGGAAAAGAGCAAAAGAAAGAGGGTCCCTTCGGTTTCACGGCGAACGAGAGGATTCCGACAGCTTCACTCTGCCTTTGACCCCTGACCTCGACCTCGACCCTGACTCCTCGCCGATCTACGCCCGAGATTCCAACCCGTCGCCGCTCTACCCCGGCGACCGCCGCTCGCCGCCGCTCAGCATCTTCCCGCGAAGCTCTCCGCCGACAAACATCTTCGCCCCACGAGAGTCAAACTCGCCTCCCAACAACCTCTACTCCCGCCACTCCCCGCAGGTGTACAGCCGCAGCAGCTCCCCTCCTCGCTTCTACACCCGAACCTCCCCGCCGACCCTCTCGTACCCGGACAGCAGCCCCGAAGGTCCAGAAGAAGTCAGCCCCACCGGTCAGCCGCAGAGGCCCGCCCTGGAGCTGCCCTACAGCCTGGGCCGACCCCCGCTGGGCCCGCGGCCAAATCACCTGCAGACCTTCTACCAGCCGCCGCCGCTGGCATCCAACGGAGACGCAGGGTACACAGCAGAGCCCACCTCTGAGGGAGACGACGGACAGATGCAGCGGGTGACGAGCCTGTGACTAGGGCGGTGGTGATTGGGGCATAGAAACCAGGGAGGAGGAGGAAGATGGTGATAACAACAACACATAGTGACGATCAAACCGACGGAAAACGATGACGATTGTGATGAAAAAGAGGATAATGATGATGGATGATGAAGGTAACAGCGATGACAGCGATGGCTCCTCCCTGCTTCTATCTCCCGATCACCACGAGACTTCCCCCTCTCCATGTTTTGTTACTTTTGTACGACTGTGATCCATTTATAACTCGTCCTCCTCTCCTTCTCCTCGTCTTTCCTGAAAAAAACCCTGCTGTGTCTTCCCATCTCATCGGTGCTCATCCTTACCGGCCCGACGTTTAAGTTTCTATTTGCTTCATCGGCTGGGTGTTGCCCCTCCCTGTAGCAAGCAAACAGTGTGTCAAAGAAGCACTTGTGTGTTGCCAAAAAATCCTTTCAAAGAACATGTGCATGACTTTATAGTGGCTTTACAAGGCTACATACTGTAGGAGGACGTGCTGAAGCGTGCGTGACCGTACATGCGAGTGTGTGTGCGTAGCTTGAAGAGCATGTGTGTGTGTGTGTGTGTGTCAGGGTGTGTATATAATTGTGAGCGAGAGAGCGCGCGTGTGTGTATATACATCATTCTTGTATAATTAATGTATCACAGTGAAGCATTTTATCGATACCAACTGGAGGGCCTCTTACACACACACCCCCCCTCCTGCTGATTTTGAACTCTTGACCAATCCTATTTCACATCAAGACCAAAACCTCTGCCCCGCGAACCTGCCACTGGCGATGGAACTTGTTGCCATGGAGTTTGTCATAGCAACCGAACTCTTGACTGCAGAGCCAGAGATCATACGAAACCTCAGAACTTTTCTGCAACCCCCCCGAGATCCTTGTACATATCGACCTCAAGTGTTCTGATTGTCTTGTATTGCTATTGAAGTTCAAGTAAACATGTGAAATAAATGCCCCCCCGTCTTCCTGTTTGTGTGCGTGTGCAGACAGATGGAAGCAGGCAGGAAAAGTTTGATATTTCTACAGCAGAAAATGAGCTGGAAGAGAAACTGATGAGCCGTATAATTATGCAAACTGAAAAGGACAGCAGCCAGGATGATGAAAAATAGATATAGACAGTAGGGGAATGCATCTATTTGTGTACTCGAGTACTACAGTTTTGGTTTGCTTGCATGTGCTACCTTATAGATTTACTAAATAACATTTTAGAGGGAAATATTGTACTTTTGGTACATTTACCTGACACCTACAGTTACTTTGCAGGCTTAGATTTTACAAACATATAATCCCAACAGGGCTGCAGGGTGGCGCAGTTGGTAGCACTGTTGCCTCGTTTGCATGTTCTCCC